TCTTAATTTTTAATTTATTGTTTAAATAAATACAAAAATTAATCTAACAATTATCCTTTATATATACATCTACGTATATAATATTTTGTTTTAAAATAAGGTTAATGGTCAATCTTGTTCTTAAACTATACGCGAAAAGTTACAAATAACCCTAAATTTAATTTAAGGTCAATTTTGCCCCTCAACCTAAGAAAATTTAATGGCTGTGCCCCTGACGTGGTGTTATGCACTATTCTTGTCATGTGGGTCTCATGTTTAAATTTTTTTAATATACTTTATTATAAAAATATTACTTAGTAGGTCCCATTATTTTTTTAATATTTTTTATGATATGAAAACATCTCTCTCTCTCCTCCATTCATCTCCCTCTCCATCTATCTCCCATTCATCTCACTCGCGGCTTGCTGGTAGGAGCATGTTGGCTTTACTTTGTTGCAAGTCATGAGTTCGATTCTACAAGAGAGAGAAGTGAAACACTCTCTCCCTCCAATTCATCTACCTTGGAATAATCAAGCAAGAGAGACCGTAGCTAAAGTGAAGCATCTTTAGCAAGAGAGAGAAGCGTGAAGTTGAGAGAGAATATGTTGACGATGATGTTCACCTGGTTAATGAACCTAATAGAGCGGGACCGTGGCAAAAGAAAGAGAAGATAAAGAAGATGAGGAGGGTAACATATTTGAGAGCCTTCATGAACTCGACGTGAGCTCCATACATAGCATAGTTGAGCGGCTTCCTCATGCTATACATGCTAACTTGCGGATGCGGCTTCATCATAAATAGATTGCAGATCAAGGGAATTGTGTTATCATCGTGCAAGTTCTACCATGGATGCTTAACCTTGCTAACCAAATGCTCCCTCTCTACTCTACTCCTCCCCCTCCCTCCCCATCATCTCCCTCTTCTTTGCATCTCCACCAACGACCCATGCTTTGTTCCACAATCATAAAATAAAGCAAGGTTGCGTTTATTTCATACCAAGAGCTAGGCACATAAACACATTTATGGGTGCTTGCTATATATACACGACACATGTCCGTCCTCCTCCTCTTTTTTGCATCTCTATCAGCAAACCATGCACTGTTTCATAGTCATAGAACAAAGCAATGTTGCATTTATTTCATGCCGGGAGCCAGGCACATAAACACATGTATGTGTGCTTGCTATATATATACAACACATGTTTATTTAATTAGATGCATGTATTAGAATTTAGATTTTTTTTTTGCAATCTGGAAACATTAGCTCAAGAATTCCAAAAAGTAATAAGTAAATGATATATACAATGAGAAAAATTAAAAGAAGGTGAACTAAGTATCAAACTAGGATGTTTCTATACGTAAAGCTGGAATTGCTTCAAGAGATATATATGGGTAGAGGGCCATTAGGGAAGGGGACGAGTAAGAAAGTATAGAGAGAAGTACATACTATTGACATATTGCTACATGAAAGATGCAAAACCAATAGGGTAGGAAGAGAGAGAGGGAGAAAGGAGAGAGGAGAGAGAAGGAGAAATTAAAAAAATAATGTTGCACCCACAATCAATATTTTATAATAAAAAATATTAAAAAATTTATATGTGAGATCTACATAATGATAAGTTAAGGTAATGGAACAATAATTTTTTAAAGTTGAGGGATATAAATAATTTATAATTAAATTTAGAGTCATTAGTGACCCTTCGTGTGTATTTTAGAGACATTTTTAATCCTTAACTCTTTAAAATATTTAAAAGTCATATTGGAAGAATGATTAAAGTTACCTCTTTCTTTCAAGAGTTTTAAGGTTCAAATTTTAGATAAAGAATAAAATATTAAATTCTAACTATTTAAGAATTCGTTACAATTGTTAAATTCTTAAATATTACTTATTTTGCATGATAAGCAACATTTTAAAATGGCTGCTTTAGATGATAATGGTAGCCTATTATCACAGTATAAGCAACAATTTTGATGAAGTATACCCATAGGATAAAGAAACCGTTGGCATAGATTTTTAGCCATGGTACTTTGGACAACGGTTAAAAAATGTTAAATAAAAATATAGACAATAGTTTTCATAATTCTTGTCATTTTTCAAATGTTAGGTGAAAATGTTGTAGTTGGATGTAACACACTACATTTATAATTAACTAATTCACATCGTTAACTCATTTGCAGTTAGATATATATATTGAAGTTGACGTAATTGTCAAACTACAATTTTACCAAAATCAATAAATAAATTAGCTCACTAGCTTAAAGAAATATTGTGTTAAAAAAATATGGATGAAGTTTTTGAAAATTTGGAATTGTAACCAATTTATATTGATATATAAAAAATTTGTCATTAAAAATTTAAAAACTTATAAAGTGTTTATTATTAATATATAATGGTATATTATTGATGACAAATACAATAAATAAGTCATGATGTAAAATACAGTAAATGTTTGGGTTCTTTGTTTAGTTTGATCCTATAATATAAGATATATCTGTAAAACTCCTTATGTATAATTATAACTTATTACAAATAAAGTGATTTATTTTAAATTTGCTGAACAGATCAGCCATCCACCTTCGGTATCTACATATAACTAACGAAAACAGCTAGCCAAATAAGAATTAATTAATATCTTTCGGCCATTTTCAACGAGAAATTTAATACGTCCCAATTCAAAAGCAGCGAGCCAAGTAGGTGCCCAAGCTTAATCATGAGCTTTCATCATAACTTCACTAAAAATTCTCTTATTTCCATCGATTTTTATAATAAAAAGTTTAAGAATTACTATTTCATAATATATTTGACATGACAAAATCATCAATATCAATAGTATAAAGTATAAAAGATATATGAAGTCACATTATTTATTTACAAGACTGATTTTTTGTTGTTGCATGAATTTAGTGCATCACATTATTCATATTCCATCTAATAAAATTACAATAGTTCAAACAAATAAAATATCATATTTTATAATTTGTAATAACTTTATTTTTATAATAAAATGCTTATTTAACTTCTTGTCTTTTATTTATCCACTGTTATTAATTAAAGAATCAATTGATATTTAATATTATTTAAATATTATATGCTTATTGAATGGGATATGGATGAGGTGATGCATCAAATTTATATAATAATTTCATGGTTGGAAAACGTAACTCATACAAGATTATTTGATGTACAGACAAACAGTTTATTGCGATTCTCAAATGATTAAACACCTCAATATTTCATCATAAAAATTATCGAACTAAAGTATAAAAAATGTTTATCCCAAGTATTTTAAGGAAATATGACAATGCTTCCCCCCCCCCCCCCTTCAAACACCAAAATTAAGTTTTCCCCCCCGACAGACGATGCTCATGCCTCACAGGTCACAACCCGCGTGTTCCTTTTTCTTATTTTCATGTTATATATATACGTATATATTATTTATTGCATTTTTGCTTCACTATTATGTTGTTTAAATAATTTTAAGTAATATGAATTCAACTAAATATAAACGCTTAGTTCTAATAAAATTTAAGGTTACATTATATACGTGCATTGCAGTTATTCAAAAATATTCATTCATTTTGTAATCAGATCAATTTATATTTTATAAAGAACATGCTAATTATTCTTTCCCCTAATATTTTTTTTTGGCCAAATTCCCCCTAATGATCAAATTATTGTCATCATTAGCATAATAATGGGAGGAATGTTTCATGTTTGCATGCCCTAATTGATAATTCTTTCTCATGGGACTATATATACGTGGTAAGGCTAATAATAATAATTGCGTTCTATATATATAAAGCGGCCATTATAATAATTTGCCAATAATGAAAGCACATATACGTAATCAAATCCAAATTATTAATTATGGTCAAAGAAAGTTGAAAAAATGTAAAATGTGTTTGGGAATCTTTTCTCCTAAATTAAGACTGCTATTATATCTCTTTCTTACACACACGTTGTCAACTTGTCATTGCTCATTCGGACACACGTCTTTGATTCCTCATCAGTATCATCACGCTAGCTTTTGCCTTGCTCCTTGTTTGGCTTATACTACTTTGCTTTTCCATTTTATATTATGAATTTGTGATGTGATTTTCTTTATAATTAGTTATTAATATTTTTGGCTATTTCCCCTTCCTGTTGCATTTAATTACAGCATTGCCTCGTCTTTGATGCAAAATGCTCATGAATTTTCTAATAAAAAAATTTATTCATTCATTTAAACTTCAAAGTAATATAAAATAATTAAATACTAACCAAGAAATGACAACCTTGATAAAAATTCATATTCATATACTCATTTCTTTTAAAAATATAAAATATTTTTAATTAAATTTTAAATCTAAATAATATAATTGCCTATTTTTAAATTAACCTTATCTTTTCATATTTACTCTTATTAAATATCCTACAATAAATATAAAGTCACTATCAATAAATGCATTTTTAAAAAAAGACAATGATTATATTTTGAAAAATAAAAAGTGTCTTATATTTTTTAAAATTTAATTTCTTAAAAAATACTTTATATCTTTAAACGAAAGGAGTATTTATTTTTATTTCAATTCAATGTTCCATCAGATTTTTTTAAAATTTAAATTGATGAATATTCAATGTTATTGTATAAAAATTGATAAATAAATCATATTATCTGAAAATTATAAATAATATAATATGTTTTAAATATTAAAATTATTATAATTGTAATTATAAGCTTGATAACTTATATTTTGGTATTTTCTTCAGAAAGAAGTAACAGCAAAATAATTATTTTCACATGGCGAACCGCAGAGGGAGAAAAGGGTAATTTCTGTAGTTAGAAGGGCATTTTCTGTTTTTCTGCGTCGGAAAAATCGTTTCACATGGGCACTGACACAGTCCACAAACACGACTACACAGTGACATTTCCGTAGTTACTCGCTAACATGAGGGTAATAATGGAATTTAAGCACCGAACAATCACAGATGTAATAGTCTTCGATGGTCCCACATCCATCCATTTCCCCTGCACGCTGCAATAAGCCTCTAATCTCTCTCTCTATGTCCTTCGCGTCTTCTATTGTACGCACTCTCTCTCTCTTCCCCTTGGTGTCACTAAACTCACTGAGACACTGAAGGCGAGAGGCTGCTTAGATCTGTGAAACACAGAACCCTAAGCTCGAAGGACGATCTGCGTAAAGCATTTTAACAGGTTTTTTGCTTCTTCCCTCGAAATGCAGCTCTTCCTCTCTCTCCCTTTGATTTGATCGGTTCTCGTTGTCTTGCTCTACCATGCCCAAGATCTAGTTGTTTCATAAGAGTTATAATTGCTTTCTCTGTGAGTCCACACCATGAACTTTATGCTTGATTGTGCATTGTTGAGGTTCTTTGAGATTCATGTCGTCATTAGCTGTGAAGTTCACTGTATCTTGACAGTGAGTTTTCTTTGGATTTCCTATTAGGTCGTAATCTGATTCTTGGTGCTTGTAAGCTTTCACTAATTCACTTGGTCAATTTGTTATCGCTAACGAATAATTGATCCGTGTCTAGTTTTTTCCCCCCGAGTGTAGTCCTTCTTCACTTCAACATCAAGCATTTTCTTCTTCTACTTTGGTTGAGGTCTGGAAACTGGGGAGACTCCGAGTTTTATAATTGCTTTCGCGTGCTACCCGTCGCATTTTCTCTATTGTTGCGGTGACTTAACTGGCCGTTGTACTTTTAGTCAAATTAATTCATTTCCTCGTGATTCTCTTCGTGATGATATATGATATTGATTAGGTAGTGTCACTGTTCTTTGATTTGTTATACTTATCAGCTGAACAGAGTCTGGATCTGGTATTGATGGGACATTTGCTTAGCGTATGCCAATTTTTTTTGGGGTCTAAGCTTAACTTCTCGGTGAAGGTTTCAACTCATCATTGCATCTATATGGATGGGTACTACATGGCGCATGAGTTGGATATAGTCCATGATGCATTTAAAGCTCAACAACAATTACCAATGTGCAAATTTTCTGCAATTCCATTCTGTTTTGGGCTTTCTGCTTTCTTATCAAGCATACTTTCAAGTAATTTTAATACTTTCCATCTGCTGCTACTTTTCTACCTGTGGAGATCATACTTGTCTATGCTTTTACTTTGCTTGCTATTGTTTGGCTTGTTCTATTATCTTGCGTGCCTATCATTTAGTTCTGTCACCTTATGTTCTTCAAAAGAGACATTTCTTTTTGTCTCGAGTAGAAGGAAAGAATTTCATATGATCTCTTTATATTGCAGGTTGGGTTTTGCTAGAACTTCAATGGCAGTGACAGATGCACAAAATGCTCTTCTTGGAGAAATCACCTGTGGTTCTTTGTTTAAGAAACTGCAGGTAACTTTATTCAGCTTTTAATCTATGATGATGCAGATGTGCATGGTGTACAAAACAGTTAGGTTATTTTTATTTACTGTAGGAAATATGGGATGAGGTTGGCGAGAGTGATGAGGAACGAGACAAGATGCTTCTTCAGTTAGAACAGGAGTGCTTGGATGTGTACAAGAGAAAGGTTGAGCAGGCAGCAAAGTCAAGGGCACAACTACTTCAATCCTTGTCCGATGCTAAAGTTGAGCTTTCTAGCCTTCAATCAGCCCTTGGGGAAAAAAGCTTTGCTGGAATCGTAAGTACTATTTGAATATATAGTTGCTATTTCGCAAGTGAAATTATAGCTTCTAAATGCATTTTTTTAAATGGTATAATTTTTATCTATGTTGGAATCTAATAAATTATTCTCCTATTAATGCTCGTGGTTTTATCACAGCCTGAAAACACTTCTGGAACTATCAAGGAACAGCTTGCAGCTATAGCGCCAATACTTGAGCAGTTATGGGAGCAAAAGGAGGAGAGAATAAAGGAATTTTCAGATGTGCAGTCACAAATCCAAAAAATATGTGGAGAAATAGCTGGGAGCTTAAGCCTTGGTGATCAAACAGGAACACCTGGAGTTGATGAATCTGACCTGTCTCTGAAAAAGTTAGATGAATATCAATCTCAACTCCAAGAACTTCAAAAGGAAAAGGTAATTCTTCTACACTGCCAACTAATAAATCAATCATAAATTTGAAGACCCAAGCCGATTCACTTAACATCATACCTCACAGAGTGATAGGTTGCACAAGGTTCTTGAATTTGTGAGTACAGTGCACGATCTTTGTGCTGTTCTTGGGATGGACTTCTTCAGTACTGTGACTGAGGTTCATCCAAGCTTGAATGATTCTACTGGCGTTCAATCCAAAAGCATCAGCAATGACACCCTAGCTAGACTGGCTAAGACAGTCTTAACTCTCGAAGAAGATAAAAAGCAGAGACTGCACAAGGTAGGACATTGGATCCTGCAAACTCTTTCTGTATATTTTACCACCTTAATCCACGCTTTCTTACTCTTACTGTGGTCATCAATCTATATGCTTCAGAGGTTACTAATTTTAGAGAACTATGTATTTATTTTTTGCATGTGAAGGTTTTGCGAAATTATCATTTCTAATTTCAGTACCTTGGAAGTAATTTTTCATCCTTCTTGACAGTCTTCAATATAAGTTCTGACTTTGGCCTGTCTATCCCTTGCAGCTCCAAGAATTAGCTTCTCAGTTAATTGATCTGTGGAATTTAATGGATACTCCCCCAGAAGAAAGAAGACTATTCAACCATGTTACTTGTAATATGTCAGCTACTGTGGATGAAGTCACTGTTCCTGGGGCCCTTGCTCTGGATCTGATTGAGCAGGTACATAAGAGCTACTGAAGTTTACAGCTGGGGACTAGTAAAATTTACTAACATACAAGTTTTTGCCCTGGTCCATGTTATGTAGGCTGAAGTGGAAGTTGAAAGACTGGATCAACTGAAAGCCAGCAGGATGAAGGAGATTGCTTTCAAGAAGCAAGCAGAACTTGAGGAGATATTTGCCCGTGCTCATATAGAAATAGATCCAGAAGCTGCTCGAGAGAAAATCATGGAACTGATTGATTCTGGAAATATCGAACCTGCTGAATTACTGGCTGACATGGACAATCAAATAGCAAAAGCAAAAGAGGAAGCTTTAAGCCGAAAAGAAATATTGGATAAGGTTGAGAAATGGATGTCAGCATGTGAAGAAGAGAGTTGGCTTGAAGACTATAATCGGGTACTTTGGATTTCCCTGTTATTCTATCTGTGGAAAAGTAATTCAATTTTACCTCTAGTTTTGATTACAATTTATGATCGTTGTCATAACGTTCACGGATTATTCCTCTTTTGGAGTCTCGTTTTACCCTCTGACAATGTTATGTAAAACAGGATGAAAACAGGTACAATGCAAGCAGAGGTGCACACTTGAACCTCAAACGTGCAGAGAAAGCTCGGATACTGGTCAACAAAATTCCAGGTAGATTTGTTGGATGAGGTTGCAATAGCCTGCAGAAAAATGTTACCACTAAAATCGTTCTTACCATTTTTATTTAAAATTTAAATTCAGTATGATAAGTAATGCTCATTTACGTTTGTTTGATTGCTTCATAGATTTATACTTCTTTACAAAGGTTAATAGACCGTCATTGATGTTAGTTAATGAAACTGACAAGAAGCGAGTTCAAGTCTTTGTACATTTTTTCCGTCTTACGGAAACTAATAGTTCAATTATGCTGTAAATGGAAATAAACGAATGTCATCTGTGCTTGGCTGACGAAATAGGAATGTACAATCATGGTATGTTCTCTTGGGCATGCACAAGACCGTTGATTTACTAAATTTTTCTTGTGTTAAATTGCAGCTTTGGTTGACACATTGGTTGCTAAAACTCGTGCATGGGAAGAAGATCATGGCATTTCATTCACATATGACGGTGTTCCACTTCTTGCCATGTTAGAAGAATATGCCATGCTCAGGCATGAAAGGGAAGAAGAAAGACGCAGGTTGAGGGTATGTCTCGATGACCAAAAATAACCTTTTAGGTTGTCCTGTTAACAGTTTGATATCTTGTTTTGAAGTACTCTCTTGGCATGGTGTAGGACCAGAAGAAGCATCAGGATCAGCAACACACGGAACAGGAAGCTATCTTTGGTTCAAGACCCAGCCCTGCTCGGTCAGTTTCTGTTGGGAACAAGAAGGTAGTAGGACCTCGTGCAAACGGAGGGTCCAACGGGACTCCTAACCGACGGCTATCTCTCAACGCTCACCAGAACGGATCACGGTCCACCATGAAAGACGGTGGCAAAAGGGATAACACTAGACCGGTTGCTCCGGTGAATTATGTGGCCATATCCAAAGATGATGCTGCTTCCCATGTTTCTGGTGGCGATCCCGTCCCGACCTCACCCTGATAATGTGATCTGTATTTCATTCAAACCCCGTATAAATGCGTCTTTGTAGCATGATCATATTCCTAGTTGCTGCAGTAGGAAAAATATAATGCATCCGCAAGAATTAATCGGAGAGAGACAATTACTAAGCTGTGTATGTGGTATTTTGCCATTTGGAGGTGTTGTCAGTACATGTTGCGCCATCCATTCAGCCCGTTGACAGATTTGACTTGTTTCGTTTGTCTCTCTCAGCTTCTAGGCTGGCAAGCACTTGCCCTCGCATATGTGGTAAGAACAGGATTGCGGAACCTCGAGACCACTCGTGATCTTATCTCAACCGAAGCATTTAATACGCGCGCGCTGGAGTTTAGTAATGAAATCGCCTATATTATGAAAATTTTCTGTACGTCGTCTTCACTTGTGCATGGGGTCCATGAAACATCGCAAGTGGTTCGGGTCGGCTTTTTATTAATTTCTTGCACAAAGCTGTTAAACACTCTGTTTATTTTGCAATTTTAATTAATCGAACGAAAAACTCATACAGAATTAGATCGCGGTATATTCCATCTATTAATTCATATTGTTACAAAATTATGGAGTAAATATGTTAGTTCATATATTCACGAGTCGATGGGCATGAGTGGCCAATTATTGTTGATGGAGCGGAGTTTATTGGGACTTGGGAGGGTCATGTATCGTTAGCCACTCTACTTCAGATTAGTCTCTCGTATCGGTAGGACTCTCGGAATTCCCAGGGAAAAAATAAAAACCTGAGGCATTTCAAATAAAGAAATCGCTTAACAATATATTAAGTGCGTTGGTCATTAATTTCAAATATTTTCCGTATACGGAAAGGCGCTTCATCTAATTATTATTATTATTATTATTATTATTATTATTATTGATAAAACTTCAACTAATTAAGTTATTTATAACAGCTTGAATGTAACATCTGCATAATGCACCACTTTACCCAAGTGGCTAGTACTAACTTCTCCAGTCTTATCTATATTCACATGAAGGGAAATTTTTTGGTCCTTTTTATCAGTTATGATATGAAATATTTATTATATATTTCTTAAATTGTTCTTATTTAAAAGAGAGCAAAACTGGATTTTTTTTATAAAAAAATTTAGAAGGTTCGTGAATTTTTAACCTCTCTTTTAACTTAAGGGAGCTTAGTTTTACTAGTTGGGAGAGCTAAATTAACATATCTCAAGTTTTGAGTTTAAGTTTTAAGATATGTAATCGTGTTTAATAAATATACTAAAAGCATCCCTAAAGGTTAAAGCACTTATGAGATCGTTATTGGTAATAATAGTTTCATATAGTTGGGGTTTGAATTAGTTTAGATGACACGTAATAATATTCTTAGATTTTTCAAGATAGTGAACAATGTAATAAAGGGCAAAAAAAAGAGAAGAAAGTGCCTTGTGAAAAATAAATGAGAGTATATTGTTGTGTTAGATCAAGGTGGTTTCCAATTATTTATCTTGTTAAACGTGAAGAAGGTCCGTGCATAGTCATGCACGGCTAAGAATGGAAATATTGGAGAGCACAGTAGCCAAACCTCACAAACTATGTTATATCGATAGAATGCTGTCGACTTCATGTCTTCACTAACGGCCAATTTCTTGTTCAATATGAACGAGGGTCCCCTCATACAAACTTGCATGTTTCTTGAAGACCATCATTTGAACGTCACTTTGAAAATTTGCGTCAATGTTCCCAACATTATATGTGTATTTGAATCTAGATATTCTTCGCTCTCCCTTCATTGTTTTAATTTTACAACATAAACAAATATATTAGAACTAAAATGTCAAAAAAATAAGTTATTCCAAAATTTCGAAAAAAATTGAATATACTGTACAAATAAGAAGTAACCAGAAGGTTGTTCCTATTAAATTCAAATAAAAATTTAAGTATTTTAAGTTAAAAATAAAAAAATCAAAGTCATAAATGCATTTTAAAAAAATAACAGAGTAAAAGATCAATTTAATAAAAGTTATATCTCAAATTATTCTGTTGAAAATGAGTTGCGATCAAATATCAATTTAAGTAGTTTTAAATATGAAAGCATCGGTTGTAACCTTTTTTTTTTTTAACCCAACATTTAACTAACCAATCAATTAAACACATGCTAGTGTCACCAAGTTTGGCATCAATTATATTTTTTTACCAAGCATTTAAATTGTATAGATCACTTCTAATGATTTGTAAATAAGACTTTCATATTTTTCAGGTGTCTAAATCAATATTTATAATTTATTTTTCAGCAAAATTTGTTGAAATTTAACTGTCATTTCAAATTAATTTTTTTGAAACATATTTTGGTCTTTAATAAAAGCAACTTAGTCTTTTTATCATTAAAATTGTCAAAATAATGTTTTGCCTTTCATATTCCCCCAATATATATATATATATATATATATATAAAATTTTCGGGGATAGAATTTAAAAGATGTTAAGTTTTTTTTTTTTTGGGATTGAAAAAAGGTGTTAAGTTACTTAGGGTATGATTGCTTTCTGTGTTTTCAAGCATCTTAAATTTAATTATTTTTAAAACTGTTCTCATTTTTTTCTTTTTAAAAACAAAAGATGGAAACATTGTAAAGTTGTTTTCATTTCATTTTTTCTTGTTTTTAAAACAAACTAAGTTTGATTATTGAAAAATATAGTTAGCTTGACTAATCTCTATTATAAATTACTATCATTAACCTTTTACAACTATCACATTAGCCTATTTTTTAATTTTAAAATTACTTTTAAATTAACATAATCAAATAAATTTCATTTTTTTTCTTTTAAAAAATAATTATAAAAACTGTATTACAAAATAATTTTTTTTAAAAAAATGGAAACTGAAATCAAATAGGCCCTTATATCATTAAACTCAAGGTTGCTGGTTGTTAGATGCTATTTTATGAAAGGTTTCTCAATTTTATCTAAGCTAGCAAGGTCTCGGCTTTTCTGAGAAATACGGCTTTGTCGTCGTCATCATAATATCTTTACGAAGCTTTGATTAATAATTCTCAGTTACACAGGTTGGTTTAGTATGGGTTTTACGTGATAGATTCTTAGATGCATCCAAGGCAAATAGTTCTGAAACGCTAACGTTACTTAGCTCTATTACTTCAATTCTCTAATCAACATTCACATTGTGTTTTTCAGGATGAAAGCAATATGTTTATACATCATTGTCTTCAACGCCAAAACTATAATGCTTCAATCTTACCCACTGTTTTGGCCAATGTATCATCGTCTTCACCGCCATACTAAAATGCTAGTATCTTAATTTACCACTTTTTAATTTCTACCTAATCAGTTATATTTAGTTTTCATCATCCGTATGTACATAAGACATACTTTGAATGACTCATCCAATATACTCTTTCAAACCTTTAATCAACAACGTTGGTAGAGGCTCAAGAGACTCTGTGTGTGTGTGTGTTGGCCAATGGCCATTTTGAGTAGTGCATATTCCATTTAAACTTTAATTTTGATTAATAAAGCACACGTATAGCCCAATTTCTAGTTAATTAAATGGGTTAATTAATTGGTTACATATAGCATATTTTGATTACCATGCAATATATGTGACTGAAATAGGTTACCTAGGTCGATGTTTCCCTGACCGAAAATGCAATATACTTATATCGATGGAAGTTGCATGGATATGATGAAGGTATATCTAATATATATAACATGTATATAATAGGATACAGAGTGGAATAATTATTTTTCGAAATTTTAAGACATGAGTATGAAACTTTTATATTATTTAGTGGCACGTTCGATAAATTATAATGCATGAAAAAATAAATAAAATTTTGATGTGCGATTTTTTTATTGATACTTTATAAAATTAAATAATTAAAATAAAATATTATTAATATTAAAAAAGATTAAATGTACAATTTTTTGTCTAACATTAAAAAAAAATGCATGTTTTAGACAAGAATTTCATATGTAAAAATTTAAAAGTATTAAGATTTTCAATCTAAATTGATAATGTTAATTTAGCCTTCGTCCATGTTATACACATGCTTCGTATATCCCTAAATTGTTTTGAAGCGTTATTATTTTGGTAAAAAAATTTAGAGGATTTAGATTTCGGAGATTCAAGGCATTTCCAAGCTCAAAAACTATTTACAAACATATTTACAGATCACTCATCAATAAAATTTTTAGGTCTGCAATAAAATTTGAACTCATAATCTTATGTGTCATGGATCAAATTCTTATCAAGTGAATCATATTCTGTATGTTGGTTGAAGCATTTTTTCTGATCGAGAGTACAGTACATTAGTAGCTTTCAAAATGTTTCATTGTGCACTGGACACAACACATTAAAATAGATATTCATATCGTAATTAAAGATACACTCAATGGAGTAAATATTCTTTCTTAGAACATCGATGGTTTAACTGTTTACTCCGTGTGTAGTACCATAACTTAGTTGCAGGTTGATGTTAACTAAGATATGTAAAACAGATTCAGATATATTTCTACTTCTCGGAAAATACGTCTTCATTTTCCTATATAGCCTCTCTCAAACATTCAAAATTTACGCTACACTTCTCTTCCTTCGTCTTCTTCAATTCTCTTTCCATATATTCACGTAATAATAATGACAATAATTAAGAACTTGTCATTGTGTTCTTCTGCAGATCCTTGTTCTAGTCCTGAAGCAGGATTAGCTCATGAAAGAAAACAACAGGCCGGTTTCATGGCAAGGATCGTCCTGAATATGAAGACCAAATGCTCATGGAGAAAGAAGACGAAGAAGATGAAGAAGACGAAAAGAGAGAGAGGACATCATCATCAAGAACCCATAATGGCGGATTATTCAATTTCAAAGGACCTCGCATTAGAGGAGTGGTTTGCAAAATCACCATCAGTGGAAAACAAAAGAATCTGCGACGACGAAGACGAACATCGTGCTGGTTCTAATAAATCTAATAATAAGCATGAAGATTGTGTTTCATTGGAAGAACTTCTGAATAGTAGCGAGTCGAACACATCTGTGGAAACAGAAAGTGCGAGTTACTCTGATTCGAGTTTCTCATTGGAGAAGCTTCTGATGATGAGAGAGAATGAAGATAAGAAGGAGGAGGTTGAAGTAGTGGCAGTGGGGTTATGTTCATTAAGTGGAAGCAAGAGCTGTAGGCAGAGGAAGGTGAGCTTCAGACTTCCAGAAGCTTCTGATATCATGATGCTCAATTCACCAGAGCGTTGATGAATCTCACGGAATGATATTTTGAGAACTCGTTTATTTATTTACAGTTTCAATATGAATTGATGCTGAACATGTACTACGTTGTTTGGTTTTACTTGAGATTGCTGAGTTTATCAATAAAGCTGGAAATCAATTTGCTAATCTCATGTTGGTATATTGTCCATATCTATGTCAGAGTATTCGTCAGATTTTTAAGTTGGCACTTGGTAATTGAGAAACTTACATAACCCTTTTCTTTATTCAAGCTTGAATCGGCTAAATAAACATAGATGAAGCTGCTAATTAATCATGTTGATAAAATAAAATAAATATTTTTTTTATTTTAAGTCATTTCTAACATGATTCACCTACAAAATAAAAAAAAAACCTTAACTTTCATTAACTATTTTAAAATTTAATAAGTTTTCATCTACCCTAATAAGGACAAATATAATTATTTTTAATAATTTTTCTAACATTATTAATAAGAGCACAAAGGTAAGATGTACATAAAAAAATAGTGAATCTTTTTTATAAATAAGATTTAAATTAATTTTCTCTCTAACCTATAAATAAGATTAGAGGAGTAAGAGTAATCATAAGTGATTATAAGTTTGATCAACTAATATGTTTGTCTGGGCTTTTTGGCAGAAAGGGGGAAAAAGGAAAGAAATTAAAGAAATCTCTGTTAAATCTTGTTCTAGCTCGACAATAGCATTCTATTTAGTAGCCTGGTTAATTAGTGTGTCAATATACATACATGATGTAAAAATTATGATATGTTTTTCCTACACCATGAACAATATATTTTTAAATATTGAACTTCATGTAACGCATGAGGCTCGACACGTATAAAATAATTAGCTTGCAAAAGGTGTCGGCAATATTTATTATCTATTTTACCAACAATGTTTTAGCTGTTATAGTAAATTTTCTAATGATTTTGGGCAATGATTTCAACAATAACTTTATGATAATCATTTAAGACAAGAAATTTTAATAGTATTATATATCCAATGTTTACTGGTGCTAAAAGCCACGTCAATATAAAATGTAGATAGAAATAAGAGATTGAGAGGATAAATAAAAAATATTGAAAGGTAGAGGATCGGATAACTAATTAAATCATATGGAGTTACTATTATAGTACTAAAAAAAAGAAAATGCAAAACGCGCCGTTCCTCAACAATCGTAGAATGAAAGTGTAAAATGAAACACAATTTATTATATGTATATGTATTTACCTCTGTGATATACACGAAAAAAAGTTAAAACAAAAAAGAAGGAAAATTAATAATTGTACTTTTGAATAAAAAGTATATTATTAAATAATGATATATGACAAAGTTTATATACATTGTATGCCGTCACCTTTTTCACACATCAGCATCGGATTGTAAGCCCAAACCGGGTTTAGTCTCCATGGGAACGAAGAAAGATCAGAGGAGCCCCTGTCTGCAATATAATATAATGCTCTCCAGCTCTGCATCAAAATATTTTCAAACAAATTTGATATATCAACGTAAGAAAAAGGTACGTATGCAAAGGAATATTAAATTTTACTTTATTTTTTAATCCATTATCATTCCTTTTTTTTTTTTAATTTTGGGTAAACTGGGCACAATATTAAATTTTACTTTACTTAGCAATTAGCATGTTCGTGACTTTTGTAAATCTTTAAATATAAAGCGCCTTACCTGTAATTAAAAGTTCTGAGATCTTGATTGAGCGAGGGAAAGGGACGCAACAATATGAAAGAACTGAATTTGGTCCAAGAGCTGTTTGCCTTGGCTTGCAGCTCGGCGCGCCACTCTGGAGAACAGCTCGTTGCTGAGGTGTTCGCCAATGTGAGCGTCGACAAGGACGCCGGACACAGTCCTACAGCTGTTGGCTAAGGCTCTGCCGACTTCGGCTCCATCATCGGGGCGGCTCACCACGAGAGGGCTTCCTCCTTTGAACAGCTCAAGCCTGTTGATGACAAACGAGCCGTCGGCCTCAACGACCTCCTTGAAGTCTTGTAGGCTTGATGCGTACAGAGGAATGTTAAAGTCGTCTCGTTTTTCACTGCTAATTAATCCCTGCCCTCAAAATTATTAATTCCTTCAGTATACGAATAAATATTATTTTCATTTGAAAATTCAAAATAAGACAACATATAATATAGAGAAAATATGACTTTTTAGTCTCTGAACTTTTTTTTTCAATTATTGATTGAATTCCTAAATTTTGATTCTGAACAATTCAATTCTTATTGTTTCTTAATTTAGAACAACCAAGTCCTAATTATTATTTCTTGACTTAATACAACTTAGTCTGTGTAATTCATTAACTCAATAAAAATTATAAGAATTAAGTTATATGAAATCAAATTTTAAAGACTAAATCAATAATTAAGAGAAAGTTGAGGAACAAAAAATTATATTATTCCTATAATCTATTTTCATAAAACAATTTTTTTTTTTGAAAGAGAAAATAAAGTGAGGAGATATATAAGTGAATAAATACCTCTTGAACAAGATCATCCCAAGCGTGCTGAAAGTGGGTCCCAAAGAGGAGGCCGGGGCCACCCTGGTCGGTGGGGTCGGGTGAGGTCCGACCCAAGAAAACCAAGAACATGGACCCCCCTTTCTTGATCTCAAGGGAGCGACATTTGAGAAAGCTGGCCAAGTCGGCTTGAAACTGTTTCTTGTATGCATTTCCTGTGCTCTCACTCGCTCCGTGAATGAACACTCTTCCTCTGTTATATTCTTTTGACTTCTTCTCCATCACACTTTCTGGTATCTGTATGCACACACGCACACACACATATTATTCCTACAGTAAATAGTGTTTCAAATAAGAAAAAAAAATACTTCAAAAGTGCTGATCTTCTAAGTTTAATTCATTTTTGGTAACTAAAATTACTCCAGCCGATCCCATATACGTGTATGTGTTAAAAATCTATGCATGAGTTATAAACAGTATGTGGCTGTTGCTATGCATGTGTTAAAAAGTAATGTCCAGATAGGTCATTATATTATCTGCAATAAGAGGTTCAACCCTAGAGATTAGACCACGCATGCTTTGAATTAATGATATGCATCACTAAACTTTGTTTCTCTTTCATATGTACTATATACTTTAGGACTTGTCCATTTGAATTTTAGGATCTAATCATATCTTTTTTTTAAATATCTCTCTTACATATATTTATTCTTTTTCGATCCTATTTATAAGTCACTTTAACATGTTTATTTGAAACTCCTTAATTCTTTTTAAAAATTTAATAACTTTTTAACTTTACAACTCCTATGTGTGTATATATATATTAACATCATACTTTCTCTCATTAAAATATTATGGAAAGTAAAAAATTGTAATAAAAAGTCAATAATGTGCCTTATAAATAAAACTAAAAGACCAATGGGGATTGAGTCAAATAATTCCTCACAATATGGCTAATCAATGTTTAAATCCTCGCTGAGAAAAGTACCATGTTTAGTACTTAATTATACATCGATCATGATTGCCTCTAATTGGATATGCTTGTGAGTAATTAAAAAAATAGAACAAAAAAAAATCCTTCTTCTCTTTTGCCTTATAAATATTTCAGGTAATATTTAAGAATAAATGTAACATCTTCTCATCATCATGTGATTATTTTCATTTACAATTTTCAAAACATAAACCTTACTATTAATTAAGAGGAATTAGGTTCCTTGTACTCGATCCAACTAACATTGACGTGTGTTTTGTGGCGTTACAGATTATTGCACGTATGGACTACGCACATATTATTGGCGTTTCTAGGAAGCATGATAGTCAATCGCGAAAAGATTAATGAATGCAGTATTATGGCTCCTTAAAGTGGGAGCTCCAATCTAAAATAAAAAGAAGTAAAGAACCAAGAAAGTCAATCCTAGAAAAATGAATATGATATGTGTAGAACCTTTACCAAACTCAATGGATAAATGATAATGAATTAATTAATTAATCAATAAATTAAACACCTGAGATATCCAATGCAGTGAAAATGCTGAATGAAAGAAGCTGATGGACCTCGCCGGGAAAAGCCTCCGGTAAAATGAGCCGGGGACTCCGGCGACAAAGTATGAGCGATGGTTGTCGGCGGCAAGGCATTCTTCCAAGCTAACGCCGCCACCATAGTTCACCAACAAAGGAGGAAACAACTGGAAGAGGGTATTGAAATCATTGCTTGGAAGATCAGAGAAGAAAGCAGAAAACTCTGGAGGTACAAACCCTAAATCCTGGTACCGCTTGATGATGTGCTTGATAATCACATCCATTGTATTAATCGCGTTGCTCCCACATGAACATCCCAAATCCACAACTGTAAATGTGATATTAGGGTTATCTTCAAGATGAACTGTGTCTAGGGTTTCTTTGAGAAGGTGAAGCACAGACCTAGCATGTACGGCCTGCAAAAATTATAAGTCGTGCTCTTGTGTAAGCATATGAGTTCAAAATCATGTACAAAATGAAAATATGGTATAGACTATATATATATAGATCACTGTTTTCATTGTAAAGTTCTTGCAGGAAAAAAAAAAGCTGATAGATAAATAAATAACCTGAGCTTGAGAATTGTTGGCATAGCTAGCTTCTCCTTTGCCACCTTTCATGCTAAGCAATCTCTCCAAGTTCATATTTGACAGAGCAACATTTTTGTCTCCTTTTGCAGGCGCCATTGAAGGTGACCTTAAGCTAGACAAAAAATGACAGACCAAGAGTTAAATATGTAATGACAAGAAGAGAAGGCGATGCCTGTTTCTGTATGTATAGCTTCTGTGAGTGCGTGTGCGTGTGCGTGTGCGTGTGTGTGTCTGCGCATCTATAGGTGAAGAAAAAAGACGCAAGAAACCAGAATAAGGTAAAAGAAAAGAATCGGTTACATACAAGAGTTGGTGGATGGTTTCTAAAAGTTGGGCTAACCGAAAGTTTTATATATTTATAGGAATCAATTGCAAGATGGGTCCTTGGACAAGTTATTCTGTTTAAGAAGTCGGTAAATATGTATGTATGTATGTTTGTATTAACTGGTGACATGTACATAGTTTCTAAAAAGTTGGGCTAACCGAAAGCTTTGTAATTTTAGAAATGTTACTTGATCGAATCTTTTTTTAGAAACTATATCAGAAGCCAGGGGCACGATGACCATTCTAGGAAACACTCTCTTACGATTATGGTCAATAGTGTTTTTATCAACTTTACCTTATTTGAGTCCCCACTAATGAACAACTTTTAAACTTCCTAATATTTTTATTGTAGAATATTTATTATATATATATATATATATATTTTATATATATATCTTCATCATTATCAAATAGTAGGAGGCATGTTGTCGTTGTTGTTAAATGCAATATGAGTCAAAGACTCAGAGAGTATCATTATAAGCTCGATTATGATAATTAATTGAGTCGTCCCCAAAAAAATAAAGTTATCAAATTGACCAGATAAGTTCCATAACCTCATTTTCCATTATTAATATTTTATTTTTATCATCCACCTTTTCTTACTTTCTTTTTTCAATTTCCTTTTCAAGGCAATAATAATAACTAGAAATACCTCCCAAGAGAAGTTTATATGTGATTGTAGAATTTTCAAGCATAGACGTTCGAAGAAATCTATAATATAATTATCCAGATGGTAAAAAAAAAAAAAAAGAAACAAAGAAACAAAGAAAACTTAGAAGAAATCTACTATCATAGTCAAACCATTATATTAAATGAGCTAACCTTAAATGATAGGATTATGTGCGTATTTTGTGTTAAACTCGATCTCAACGTTCATACGATTCAGAGAGCAAAGTAATATAAAAGAGTGTGCGTGTGTGTGCGCGTTTAGGATTTGCATTCAACCTAATCGTCACACTTATTATTTGTACTTTAATTTCTGTTATGATTATTCATATCTCTCTTCAAATACTTTATATACGTCTCAGTTTTTGTGAATGTTGAATATAATGGCTATGGTCCCCCGCATTGCTTTATTGAGTCTCCTTCAAAGTCTTAACCGCGTGATGATCGCCTGTTCACATGAAACAAGGCTTTTTATTACCTTTTATACCAACCACCTAATAACTATATATAAATATATATAACAGCATAAAACCATGTTAGTAATTCTAATACAATATAATAACGTTTAATTCAAGAACATTTGTTGATTACTTTTTTCAAAAAAGAACATTTGTTGACGGAATCTGCAAATGTAGTGGGATGGTCAAAAAGATGTGATAGTTAACAGTTACTTTCAATCTTTTTTGGCTTTTGACAATTTTCTTTCCCTTAATTTCTTGTGGATCGATCCCATTCAAGTTAGAAAAAAGTGTATCTGATTGGCAATGCAATTTTTGGTTTGACTTTTGATATTCGGTGCTTAATTTATTATACTTCCCTCTTCGTGATATATAAACATGTAATAAGTGTCTTACATAACTATAGATATAAATTAAAGAAAAATTTGCCATTGATAATAATAGGAAAATAAATATATAAAAAATTAAAGAAATACTTTAATCAAAAAATAAAACTATTAAAAATAATAATATTATATTTTATTTGATTGAATTGATGGAAAAGATAATTTTTATTGAAAAAGTATAAATGGTGTGGTGTAATGAATGGTTCAAGAATTTCACCATGTAATAATAGATTCAAAAAGTAACGTTTGTTTTTACAAATATGCGCTACTTTTTAGCCTCATTATCTCACACACACTAAATGTGTCGGTTGTCCCATGAATATGGAACATATTGTCTGATTAAGATGTTACATAAAGTAGTACTTAATACTCTAAGAAGAGAAAATGAACTCCAGCGTTCAACGTTTAATCTAATTATTTATAGCCGAACAGTAAGCTCTGTCAGCAGATAATATTTTTTTATTGAGAAATCAATAAAGAAACGGAGCAATCCCTATATTACGGTTACTAGAAGAAATGGCTTCAACAGGTTAATTTACAACCAGAAAATTAAAAAATAAAATAAAATAAAGTCGGACGGCTGTGTACAAAAGAAACATTTTACATTTCAGCATTCTATTCCAAGCAGACTACAATACAATATTGATATATATATATATATATTTTTTTTTTTTGGGTAACAAAATATCGATAATTTATTTGTTCAAAGATATCCTGATAATGTTATTAGTGGGCCTAATGCACCTGAAGACCCAAAAAGAATCATAGAACACAAATAGCTATCATAAAGATGACTCAGCAAACAGCTTCAACTGCCTATTTTACATCAAACGGACTCGAACTCGCCTGGTGAATGAAAGCTACAAACCTGCATGCATGGACACAAATAGCAAGAGTTAGGATCATCGTCACTAGTAACATTGAAACCAAGGATATCAACCAGGACACGAAAGTTACAAGCCAGAATTAGAGATCCCTACCACACCAATCAAATAAAATTTTAGCCTAGTGTTCTGGTACATGGCTATAAGCAAATCAAAGAGCAGAAAGATTCTATTAGCAAAAGAGGAGAGGAAGTATTCTTGTTCTCAGCTTCATTAGGAAAAGCCCAAATGCAAAATAACTTCTTGCCCCTGCAAATCTAAATGAAATGCACAATTAAGTCTGTTCGTGCAACAATTTTTTCTCGTTTTCATTTACTTTTGGATGGATAAATTTCTGGTCTGCCACCCCCTGATATGTGTGTAAAGGGTTTAGAATAGTAAAAAGGGACCCCTTCAATAAATTTTTTTATATTATATTAAAGGCTTCATTTATCCAGGCATCATACTTCAGTAGGAATGCAGCTGGATACTTCTTAAACTGCAAGTATACATACTTCAATGTATCCAGTGATTAATCGCACCAGACTATATCACCAAATAGTTCTCTGCTGTAAGAGAGAAGCAGAAATTGCAACTTCTTCGAAGAATAAACAGAATCAAAGTATACATATAGACATATATATATAGAGAGAGAGACATTAGACACACGTATATAAATAACCCCACCCAATACTTAAATTATTATAATCATCTCTAACCCTTCATATACAAGCCCTTTTAGCAATTTGACAAGGACGAAGCACTTTCTTTGAAAGATTTGTCAAACAGAGTAATATTAATAATTTTACATATAGAATTCTATCTTTAAGCGAAAATCCATAGCAATCCCAAATGGGCTAAGTTTCCCGATCCAACTCAAACAATAGGTTAAAAATGAATCATGAAACATCATAATTAAGCTTTCGAAACGTCTTTTCCCTGCAGGAAAAAAATAATTCACCATTAAGCAAGATCGGAGGGGAAGAAAACAACACCTTTAAGCAAAAAGAGAAAGTTCTCACAATTATTATTTTCAAGACTTTTCTTATAAACATGGCAAAAGAAAGGGCTTATCAAATGAGCAGATAAATAAGAAAAAGACAAATTAACAAATACAGGATCAAATATTCACCATGGAATAGCCAAGCGAAGGAGAATCTTGGTGCCCAGTACAGCATCAACTGGTAACAGGCTGAAATAATTTTTTGACTCCATCATAGAACCATCTAGAAAACAAAACTGATGAGTCAAAGAATATCTAAGAAAAACAACTTTCACCGTTAAAAATACAAGCAAGAAGCTATAAAACAACAATATCAGCCACATGAAATAGAGAGTCAAATGTGTCTTGATTATTGAGAGGATGAACATAATAGCACTGGATTTTTTACACCAACCGTATCCCTTTATGTGCCAATGCACAAATAAAGGGAGAGATGTAATTCACACAAAAAAAAGGTGAGAAACATAGTTACAAAAAGAGGAGAATTTTAGTAAGCTGAATAATCAATGCCACGCCAGGACCTGTGGAGATGGACAATGGCTAAGTAAGAAGCACATATTTGGGTGCAAAATATAGTGAAACAAGGAAACAGGAATGAAACAATTTCAACAAGTCAAATGAACAAAAATCTTATACAATTCAAAAGCAAAATGTAGGCAGAAGCATCATGGTTTTCTGGTGCTTGGCTGAATGTGCAAAACCAGTGAGCTTTGCAGACCAAAGTGAGGCGCAAGTTTAACGAAACATTTTGTGTGTGTGTGTGTGTGTGTGTTTGGGGGGGGGGGCTTCTTTTGATTCATTTTGAAAACTTTTACAGGATTAAACATGGAAATAAATATGCATTTGTTCCCCAATTCATCAATCTGCACGTTCTGGACTGAGTCAATTTAACCCACGCTTTCATAATTAAATGCAATAAATATTCCCTGTTATTACAACCTGAATCCATAAGAAAAATAATAAACTTTATAAATTGGACATAAAACAAAACAAAACAGCTTCGAATGATAGATGAACTTAGAAACAAACCTGCATAGGAAAATTGGTCGAAGTCTAGCACTTTCCCCAGGTTCTAATTCTCTCCGTCTATTGTTTTCTTGTTGAAATTTATCAGATGGGAGGACTTCACAGGGGCCTTGAATGGAGCCAGCCATTTCAGTTCTATCGCTATTAGATTCATAAACCTGCAAGAACGAAAATGAAAATGTATCAGTTAGATAATTTCCAAATGTCCAAGATGTGGGAGTAATCATGTGATGGAACAGAAACTGGTCACGATTTAAACCAATATGAAGTTTATGGTGCATAAGTCTGTGCATGAACTAAAAGGCAAAACAATGATGGATTAATTCCATGACTGACAGCTCAGATGCCAACGACAATTTTTCACAAACAAAAATGCATCAGCATTATTCTCAAGAGAGAGAAATATATGGGGTAAATGCACAAATAATAATTACCTCATTGACTTCAGATATACATGGATGAGGGATATTCCCTGGTAAATCACCAGGAAAGTAGCACTTTGTCACATTTACCCACTTCAACCCAGTTTTGCTATCTTCAAACATAGACTGCAATAGAATAAGGGTTAAAAAGCTTTCAGATAGCTAATGTCCTAGAAATTAAGATTATTTCACACAAATTGGGCAAACATCAATCAAATCCCGAGAGAAACCAAAGTGTATTGCCAAGACATTAATTGCCCTCTAAAATTCTACATATAAAATTAATCGCAAAATTGCAGTTATACCAACAATTTGCTTACCCGCAGTTTAGATGGAATTAACTTGCCATGACTGGACTTAAAAAGAGCATGATCCTGCAGCCTATATGTAACTCCATTAACTCGGCAAGATTGGTAAAACCTTTTCTCTTCTACAAGTTGTACAAGATCACCAACCCATTCTACTGCATGTAAGCCATCTGAATATAACGCAGTGCAATGTCTACCTTCAGCGTGTGTTCCAGAACTTTTATCAGAATTTGCTAGTGCAACATATTGGTCATCACGTTTGATATCATATATCAAACTTTCTCCCCCATGAGATTCCTTTCTGTTATTATCTGTCAAACTATTGTCAACATGTTTATATAATGAAACTTCAACATTGCTTGATGGTGGTGTCAGTTCAACTTGTACATTTTTGGACAATTGCAAATTGTTAGGCTTAACTGATTCAGTTAATTGAGGAAGCACTTCTGATTCTGGAGCAAAGGTTCTCTCCTTAGAGGTAGATGGCTCAGAAATTATTTGTTCAGCAGAACTTTCACCTGCCAAGCCTACAGATGGCTCATAAGTGGCACCAAGGGATTTTATTGAGATGTTTGGGTCAGGCTTCTCATCCATATGTTTGCTGCTGGATGAATGAATATTATCTTGCATTTCTTTTGTATCAGGGATCTTTGAGACAGATGGAAGCTCAGCATCTTTATTGTTACTGATAGCATCAGTTGAAACAGAGCCTCCATTTGCTGTTAACTCCTGTGAGCTGACGTTTGGAGCTGCAACTCCAGCTTTCTTCTCTAAGGATGGTTGGACTCCACCTGTGTTAGAGGGCAGTTTTGGTGGAGTGTTCGGGGACCTCATGACACGACCATATTTTGGAGGCAAAGGCTTTCCACCACTTAATGTCAAGCACCTCATGCAATGCCACTCACCCCTAGGAATTCCTCTCAAAAGTGATGGCTGCAAACATTTCAAGTGAAACCCTTTTTCACAAGCATCACAAAGAAGAACAGTATCCACTTCATTGACAGTGAGATCACACATCTGGCAAGTAAATGCTTTGTTCATATAATCCCTTGATGGAGGAGTCCACGTGGGATGCTCAGGAAGCTTTGGTTGTAACAGTTTCTGGACAATCTTAGCAATTTCAGTGTGATTGCTAGAAAGTGAAGAAGGCTGACCAATGTTCATGCCCTGCAATGGCTGGTGCAAGCTAGACAAATTTCCAGGTGCTGTTTGAGTTACTAAAGGTCTAAAGGTCTGATCCCTTGCTATTTGTGAAGCTGGTCTGGGCCCAGTTAGGTCACCCATTCCCTCAAACTTGACAGAGTTATGTCCAGTCACTTTGTTTTCTGGTGTACTTCTAGCTAATGAGGCAGGTTGAGTTTGAGTTTGTATCGACCATGTTGGAGCATTCACCAAGGGTTGGTTTAATGAAGAGTTCGCTACATTTTAAAATTTATCAACATTCAGAACCCAACTCTACAGTTGAAATGCAATAACGCACACAATTTTAAGATGAACAAACAATAGGCTACCAATTTTTTCAGGGAAAGAAATAAAGGATATTACAAGAAAAACGAAAAGGTCAGTAGCCAGCTGTCACATAATTAAAACTTCCAAAACATTCTCCGATATACAAATTGGAAAACATAATGGTAGTACAATAGAAGAGAGACAGTTATTCAATTCAATACCCTAGTTCCTACTTCACAGTTTGTAAAGGTGTTTTAGCATAACAGATGCCTTTTTTTTAATATTTCAACGAAACCAGGACTGTAGATCACATCAGACTAATTAAAGCATATTTCCATGAAGTATAAAAGGTTCTAAGTGGATAAAAGAAGAAGAAGAAGAAGAAGAAGAAGAAGTCCGCTGCTTCTATGTTTTTTGAAGATGCTGCCGAGAATTTTGCAAACTTAACCAGTTCACAACATAATAAAAGGAAAACCCAACTATCCAAGTCTACATGATCTCCTGTCTACGCATATAACAATGAATATAAAGAATCATGAATTAGACATTCTACAAAAGAAAAGGTAGCCCCTCGTTTCATGGAAAAAGTGAGGGAGTTTGATGGAATTTCAAGGGATGTTACCCTGAGCATGCAGCAAATAAGGCCCACTTGATCCTCCATCAACTTTGAACTGTGGTTGTTCGACCTTAGGCAATGCTAATGAAGATGAATTTCTACCCAAGTGACTACTAGGCATTCCACCAGAAACTATAGAAGGTTTTACTTCACTAGTAGTTGATTGATATTGCAAAGCAGCAGAAGATCCTGCAGAAATATGAATCACAGGAGGAGAAGCTATGGTACCAGAAGCAGAGTGTCCTGTGTGGCTTGGTTTGTCCAACGGAAACATTCCGCCCATGCTTGTTTGCAACGGCTGAGAAGTAGATGGAGTAGAATGTTCAGGAAACTTCTTTGATTCTTCCATCTAAGAACCAAAAAGAAACAATTTATAAGAGAATAAAAGAGGGAAAAAAATCATCAAAAAGAGAGTGAGAACAGAAATGTTACTCTCACATTCAATTTTGTCAATTGAATTATGTTCCACAATTTAACTTCAAACGGACACAACAAAATATTGACAAACATGTGAGTCGAAAACTTACCTTCAACTTAGAGAGCGATAACCTTTCGCTTATAGACATCTTTGGACTTTGAAACCCTAATCTCTGATCGTTAATCTTCCCGTTCAATCCAAGATCCTCAATCACAGTCCCCACAGCTTCCCTCGCCACAATGTCCTTGGGAGCCATCCCTTGACACAATTCCACCAACTTCATCCTCGCCTCCTTCATCAACTCAATCTCCACATTAGTCGGCTTCTTCCCGCCTCGCATTGCCGCCATAGTCGACAAAACCAGCACAATCTCCGCCACCCTCTTGAACTCCCCGCTAGACGCAGCAGCAGCAGCTTCAACCTTAGGCTTCTTGGCCAATTCCTCACCCCCACCATTCTCAATCGGCCTTTTCACTGGCAGGCCCTCGGATCGCTTCTCCTCCGGCGGTTCCGTCCCCTCAGCAACCATCGTCAATTCCATGGCCGAGACTCAAATCCAAGAAGCGCAATCGAGCAGCGAGGCTGTGAAGAGCGAGATGAATGGGAGAGAAAGGGAGGTAAGGAAGAAAACCCTAGAGAGGGGAGAGAGAGGGATGGAGGAGGGAAGACGAAGAAGGAGGAAAAGATTTGAAAAAGAAAGAAGGGGAAGGGATATGGAAAGTATAATTATATATAGGTTTTGGCGGGTAATTTGGGAGAGATGGAATTCGTAATAGGGGCGAGTGAGTTTTGATTTGAGAGAGAAAACAGGTCGAGTGGCTGAGCAGAGCGAGGGCGATACCGATATTTGGAGAGAAAAGGAGAATTTATAATGTTCAACCCGGCTGACTCGGACCTTGACTCAACGCGTTAGGCATTACGTTTGGCTTTTTTATTTATTTGCCAAAACAAGTAAATAACAAAAATAAATATTTTTTAATAATAATGATTATGATAGAACTATATTTAAATCAGGAAATTGCATATTTTTTATTTAAATTAAAATAAGTTATATCTTAACTTTTGAATTTGATATTAAATTTGTGAATATTTATGTCTATATATATTTTGAACAAATTAATCAATAATTATCGAAATTTTTAATGACAGTAGAACTTTTTGGCCAAATAATAAATTTGTTCAATTTTTTTGAATAAATTAACTATCTAACTCTTTTCCTAACTCTATTAAAACAAGATGGAAGTAAAGAAAGAATTCTTTTAATATGTCTTTTTATATGCAACTTGGAGTAACAATTTGATCTAAGGACTGCTTTGCTAATCATTTAGTATGATATACTCAATATATATTTTTTCCATTGTGAGGCACAAGGAGTACATCTCACACATAATAAAATGTAGGAAACATAATATAATTAAAGAATAAATAAATTTATTTTCTTTGTTAAAATTTAAAACACAAATTCAAATTCATTACATTGAAGTTACAAAATAAAGAACCAAATTTATAAATTTTTAAAGTTTGATACTTTAAAATTAGTTGGGACTTAATTTAAATCAACTAAGCCCCTTGAGACCTATTTGTCATTCTCCCTAGAATTTAATCATTTTTAGGTATTCAAAACAAAAGTTAATTCTTTTCAGCTGCCATGTTATATATATATATATATATATATCTATATATAAGTTTATATTTGAATATTTAACTTTTAGTTTGAGTGACAAGAATTCTTTATACCCAGGCTAACTTAAGTTTGTTTACCTATTATACTTTCGTTCATGTTTCTTTACAGGCATAAAATGACAAATTTATGCCATTAATAAACAGCCAAAAATGGCTTAAATAAACATGAAGCCAAGCCTCATTGAAAAAAATGAGAGAAAAAGAAAAAGGTTATAGCAGCACCGATTGCAAATTCACATTGGTTATTTTGTTCCCATTCTAGAGAGCATAGCCAATTTGGATCCCCCCCCCCCCCGGCAAGTATAGAATAAAAATAAGATTTGACAAGACTAAGATAGGAGGAGAATAAAAAATAACTAAAATAAAAATGATCAAAGTAGTCCTAATTAAGCAGATAGTAGAATGTAAAAGAAGTAATAGAAGAAAATAAAAACAAGACCAACCAATTCCACTGCTTGTGAGCCATCTGAATACAAGGCTGCGTTTGATCTCCATTCAGTATGTGTTTCGTCAGAATTTGCTAGCGTAACAACACGTGAGATTCCTTCAGTTCAAATTGCACATTCTTTGACAATGAGTCAGTTAAATGAGTTAGCACTTCAGATTCTGAAGCAAAGATTCTCCCTTTACAGGTAGATGCCTCAGAAATTGTCCCTTCAGCAGAACTTTCACCTACCAAGCCAATGGAAGGACAAGAAGCTGCACTAAAAGTCTGAAAGGGATTTTATTCACATATTTGGATCAGGCTTATTATCCATGTGTTCGCTGCATCATGAATAAATGTTGTCTTGCATTTCTTTTGTATCATCAGGGATCTGTGAGAGACAGGTGGTGGCAGCTCAGTTGACCAGAGCTACTATTTGTTGTTAATTCCTATGGACTGACTTTTGAAATTGCAGCTCCAGTTTTCTTCTCTAACATCTTGTTTGGTTCAAAAAAAATAAGGGTAGGGGATGATGTTACCTTATTTGGTTCAAGAAGAGAGAAAAAAATAATTACATATAAACAACTATAATCTTATTTTTAAAAAATTATTTTTCCCTACCTTTTATAAATATTTAATAAAATATAAATGTGAATTTAAAAAAAAACTAATAAAAGCCAAATGTGAGTTAAATTATAATTATAATTACTCCTTCCGTTAACCAAATCTCATCTCCAATAAAGCAATTACTTGTTTTAAAACTAACCCTATCTTTTTATATTCACCCCTATTTAATAGAGTATCTCACCTTAAAATAGATATAAAATGATTTATTCAATAGAAGTACTTTTAAAAAAAATAATAATTATATCTTAAAAGAATAAAAATACTTTACATTTTTAAACATTTAATCTCTCAAAAAATACTTTACATTTTGTAACAGATGGAGTATATAGTTAACACACACACCCACATAAGGTAAACCTTCAAAAATTATAAAACATAAACGCATTTAGCTTCTACAATTGCACCCTGAAGACCCACAATATTTTTCACCATAAAGACCAATTAGAAGCTCAAATCACATGCATTACCATGAAAACTAATTTGTTCTCCCAATTGTGCGCTAAAAAAATGCATTCATTTTTTAATAGTAAGCTGTGGCATTGAATATATGATACAATGAGATTGATTAGAAGCTGTAACTATATGCATTAGCTAAATATCAGGATCTACCATGATAATATTCAATTCACAACGTGATGCTCACTTATAGAGCATACAACAAAATATCATTAATAATGACATTAAACAAATGCCAAGATCAAAAAGAGACACCCTGCTCTAATATCAAAAGGATGCATCATGGAGCATAGGACGATATATCAACAAAATAATAGTTTCAACATGCAGCCACGTACTAATCTAATAACTAGAGAACATATTCCTGCTCAGAACCACATGACCCGATCCGACCGTATTTTGGAGGCAAAGGCTTTCCGCCACTTAAGCATGTCATGCAATGCCACTCACCTCTAGGTATTTCTCTCAAGAGTGATGATGTTGGCTGCAAACACTTCAAGTGAAACCCTTTTTCACAAGCATCACAAAGAATCACAGTATCCACTTCATCGACAGTGAGGTCACAAATCTGGCAAGTAAATGCCCGATTCATATAACCCCTTGATGGAGGAGTCCATGTGGAATGTGCAGGAAACCGTGCGAGGGGCATAGCAGGGATTGGAACTGCATCACCAGTTTTCTTATCTGCGCTAGAGGGCAGTTTTGCTTCAGTGTTCGAGGACCCCATGATACGACCATGTTGTGGAGGCAAAGCCTTTCCGCCACTTGATATCAGGCACCTCGTGCATTGCCACTCACCTCTTGGAATTTTTCCAAAGAGGGATGGCTGCAAACACTTCAAGTGAAAGCCTTTTTCACAAGCGTCACAAACAAGCACAGTATCCACTTTATTGACAGCGACGCGACACATCTGGCAAGTAAATACCTTGTTCATATAATCCCTCGATGGAAGAGTCCCCCCAGGATGCTCTGGAAGCATAGGTTGCAATAATTTCTGGACAATCTTTGTAATTTCAAAGTGGTGATTAGTAGGAAGTGAAGGAAGATGAACAATGTTCATGCTATGCAATGGCTGGTGCATGCTAGACAAATCTCCCGGTTCCGTCCCTGGTCTCTGATTTTTAAGCTTACATTTCAATACAACGTCGTCAATCACAGGCCCCCTAGATTCCCTGGCCACAATATCCTTGGGAGCCAGCCCTTTCCACAACTCCTCTAACTTCATCCTCGCGTCCTTCAACAGTTCGATCTCCGCATTAGTCGGCTTCCAACCGGCTCCCGTGGACGCCATCGTCAACAGAGCCAGCACAATATCCGCCACTCTCTTCAACTCTCCGCTAGATGCGGCAGAGGCAGCTTCAACCTTGAGCTTCTTCGCCAATTCCTCACCCGCAACATTCTCGATCGGCCTTTTCTCCAGCAAGCCCTTGGACCGCGTCTCCTCCAGAGGTTCCGTCCTCTCAGCGGCCATCGTCAATTTCACGGCGAAATGGAGAAATTGGAGAAACCCTAGAGAGGAGCGAGGGACGATGGTGGAGAGAAGACGAAGGAGGGGGAAGAGGATTTGAAGATAGGGAAGGAATACGAAAAGGGATACTTACATATAGGTTTTGGTTTTGGCGGGTAACTTGGAAAGCACAGGACGGACCTCATAAGTCATTACGTTGCCCGTGGGTATTCCATGAATAGACCAGGAAGAAACAGTGAAGGTTTTTTTTTTTTTGGGGGGGGGGGTGGGGGGCTAGAATGTCGGTGATGAAGTTTTAAAGTTGAGAATTGATGATAATTACGATGACTTTTGTTTTTGAAAAATACGATTAATTAGTTATAAATTCAAGAATTTTAATTATAAAAAATAATTAAATTTTAAATATAACAATTAATTTATAATTGAATTTTAAATATTTAATTTACAATTAAATAATTAATTTGAACAGTATTTACTATTTATTTTTAAAAAATTTGTCAAATATATAAATACCATTAAACTCTTTTTTTCAAGACTTTATAGTTATCTTCCCAATAAACAAAGCAAAATAGTAAACCCAGTTTATAGAAAAAAGGACTCAGAGATTAAAAAGAAAAAAGAAAGGTCTAATAGTATTTTATTATTGTAATTACGTATATGAAATAAAAAATAGATAATAAAAATTATAGTCCCTTAAATTTAATTTTTAATTTTTTTTATAAATTTACTTTCAAATTAATCAAACATGTAAAATATTTTAACAGCTTGACATGTATATGTGATTAAATGAAATAAATTAATTCTTAAATTAGTTTCTTTTTTTTTTAATTTGACTCCTTACGTTACATGTTTTTCTTAAAATTCAAACATATTTTTCTAACTTAAATAATTACACATCTTTTTATTAGTCTACATGATTATCATCAATATTTCATTATCCATATTAGTATATTTTAAGTTTTTAACATTTTTACCTCCTATTTAAACAATTTAAACGACTAAATTAATAAAAATTAAACTTAAAATATTAAATTAATAATTAAGACAAATTTAAAAGACTAAAAATTATACCATCCCAAATAAAAATTGTACAGTGATTGTTCTTAGGATGGTCGGGCCATTGTGGCATTTTACTGTTAGAATAGCACATACAAAATAAAAAGTATATTATACAGGCATACAAACATTTTATTGATATACGAACCCAATTTTTAAAATTTATTCTTTTTTATTTTCATTCTCATTCTTATATTTATTTTTATTCTCATTCCAATTCTTTTAAAACTCATTATACACATCAAAAGTAGCATTATATTATTTTGGTCAAACCTCAAAACCAACATAAAATAATCGAGGAAAAACCAAAAATAATCGAGTCCGTCAAATAGATACTAAGGGCCCTTGTATAGAATCTTTAGCTCGTAAAAGAATCTCCTTATTTTAAACTCTACAATAATTAAAAGATTTTTTTAACAGCAATTAAATCTGAGTTAATCAATAGGACTGAATATATAATCATATATTGTTGGTTATCACAAAAATATTGAAAAAAACAAAACAAAACAACACAAGTTCAAGTGTTTTGCACGCTAAGATTCCTTTTTCCAAACACATTACCCTCGTTATATACATAAACGCGTGTACATATAAAAACCTAAGTTCACTAGGCCAAACAAAAAGTTCAAACCTAAGTTTATGGGTTTGAAAAGATTTTAGACCCAACAATAATTAAATACGCAATCAGTGATAATACTAAACATCAAATAATTATATTAAAAAAATAGGTTCACTTGGTCGCACTCAGATGAGAGACTGCCTATGCATGATCAACTGTATATATAGGTCATTTATTAGCATATCAAATAAGCAATTTTATAATTGGCCAAAATATAAAACAAAAGCACTTTAAAGAGTCCATGAAAACCACAACAGCAAATTTTTAATGATTTGTTGGGTTATTGGATAGATGGTTCTCCTTCTGCCCCAAATGGCAGTTTCTCCCCCCAAAAGTGATTTTTTGTGGGGCTAAAACGAGAAAAGTAAACTTTCAGCCACACTAACATACAAAACTGGATAACTTGAAAATAATCATCATAAACTTTTTTTTTTATGGCCAATAGGGCAATCAATGTCCAACTCGTCTGTGGCTCTTCCTCATATAAATCTGGAGTATGCCCCCAATTGTCTCGAGCGCAAATTCATTCCTCCTAATCAAAGTTCCCTTCTATGCAAACATAAACTTTTTTTTTTTTTTACCCTGTGACCTTCATCCACCACTACTTTTCGGTGAATAAAGACAACTACCCTATATTGCAAATCACAACTAATTCACAACACCAATAATAAAAAATAAAAAAGAAAAAGAAAGATCGATGAAGCAGGCAGACAGGAAAAGCAAGCCCAAGAATATATATATTTATATATCGCTATCACTGCCAGGGATAAAGAACTGCCTCAGCAACTAACATTTTCCTTTTGATGATTCTGTTTTGGGCAGAACCACCTCCATGCGAGTCTCCTGTTATCAACTTGAGCACTTTGGATCACAACAACAATGAAATATTTTTTATAGGAAGTAATCAGGCGGTGGTTTTTTGGCAGGTGCCCCTCTTGATTCCTGTGTTTCATTGAATTCCAAACATTTTAAATACCAAGTTAGAAATTCAAGATACAAATAAATATCCATGGGGGAAAAATCATAGCCAAAAGTTTGGAGCAAAGCATAAAGAATATGGAACAATATATTCCTAGCAAATTGTTCAGAAAGTGCATCATATATATAGAAGTGTAAACGTAATAAAGTCGGATCAAAGGTCCTCCTATAATTACTGTACCCTTGAGATCCTATCTTCAATTGACCACATAACTTTTATGTATTCTGCATTATGGGACAGAGTTTACGATCCAAGAGAATCAAAACTCTCGAGGAAATAAATCACTATTCTTGAGTGTTACTCTAAAGTTCGTTCAAACAATTAACATGAGAAGGAACATTTTTTAAAACAGACTGGTGCTTACAAGGAAAAGATGTCCATGATATTTTTCAAAAGAGAATCTCATAACTAACACCTAAAGAACCTAACCCCAAGTCTAATTTAATTAGCAATAACTTACTCCATGAACCACATTTAGGAAGATAATCATCAATCAATATTATGAGATTTCGTCTACAAACCTGTGGAGCAGCTTCAAAAACGCGAAACTGCTTGTTTAGATTTTCATCCAACTCCAGAATTGCAGCTACATTACCACATCTGAAACAAATAATTAAATGTCATAAAGCATGAATTTAGGTGCACAAGCAAACCACATTTAAGCCCTTGGATCCTCTCCGTTCACAGAAGAAGTAATAGAGAGGCATTTATGGAGGGAGTGACACAAGAAAATGTAGTTGTGCACGGGACCTACATCTCATAACGATGTATGAGGTCCACCACTATTTTTTTTTCTATCTCTCTCTGAAGGCATTCTCTTAGTGAATGTAGAATCTGGGCAGGCATTTAAATTGTTGATATACCTATAGCAATAATTCGGAGCTGACCATACAGTAACTATCTGGTTATTGAACATCCATTTATACCCTTCCATAACCAACTGATGAGCACGGCAAATATAGTCAATACTATTGGAGTGGTTAAAAGAAGACACAACAGTGCCACCAAACAAGAAACCCGCACCGCGGGGACTCAGACCCCATCCATCTACAATATCTTCAGGATCTGACCATAGGAGGTCACACATGGCACCATCATGAGGTACTTCTTGCTTCCGATCAATGGTCCGTATCTGTATATGGATAATATAAGTACCATTTTCCACACATCTTAAAATATTGAAGAACCAATTAGTTAGGATAGATTCTAACCTGGTCCAATGTAGAGATAGCAGGAGATAGACCACCATGAACACTAAAAATCTTGTTTTCAATTAGAGCTGACAAGCTGCAGTTGGGCATTAGCTCATTATTAACATTGTCGCACCATTTGTGGAAGACATCACAACTAAATGAATGTTCTCTTGTAAGAAACATAAGTAAAATGTTTCCAGGCAAAGCTCTAGTTTTTCATGGCAGCCTAGTTAAAATACACAACAACATACCTGTTTCTAACTTTGGTCCCGTTTGGTCGCTAGAAAGAAAGGAACAGAATGGATTGAAAAAATAAAAGTTAAAAATAAGATGATCAAAATGTAGAAGGGGATAGGAGAACCATATTCATTAGAGAGAGAGATAATTTACTTCATGGGATTAGGAATCATAATTCATAACGTTTTTGAAGGGTATAATGATTCCCACATTTGTGGTCTATAACATTGAATTTTATCATGCTTACTATTAAGGGTAAGAATGATTTAGTTCATTTTTGTTTTAATTTTTTTTAATTCATTCCATTCTCATCCTTTCTAACAACCAAACAAGGCCCTTGTATATTTAATATTAACATGTAATCACTGGTCAACTATACTCTTAAATGATTTATGGCGCCTAATGTTGTAAATGCTCTATTTGTCTATTGAATCACCACTATATCTTGGCTCTTATAATTATGACCTTAGTGAAATTGTTATAAATTTTACAAGTAAAACAATTGTAATTTTCATAAAAGGAAAAAAATCTATTGTTGGTAAACTGCCATTGCCATGCTAGCGCTTTAAAAAACAAAGTTATAAATCTTTTAAATATTAACAAATTTAGTGGCAGTGAGCTGGCTCACATTTTTTCCAAGAGCATATATGTAAAGACATTAACAAACCTTAAATAGTCGAATATATCAGTGCAATATCTCCAAACATTGACTGATCCATATTTACGAAGGCACTCATCATAGAATCCATAGACCTGTCATGGCTCACAAGACGAATATCCAATAAGTAGTCTGAAGAAACAAAAACCTAAGCCCTACTTTATTTTTGAGTGGTTAATATATATTTTGAGATTATTTATTTCTTTTCACTTTGATTAATAAACAAACCTGCGTGATTTGACGGCTCTCATGGTTCCCCCTGATGAGTGTTATTCGATCTGGATACCTCACCTGATAGTATGCCATTTATTAGTTGTAAGAACTACGTGCAAAAGAAGAGAATAATCATTACTAACAATACAGTTATAAAGAAGCTATTACTAGTACATCTGCCAACAGAACCTGACACAATGCCCTGCTATTTTGGGGGCCAAAAAAAAAAAGGACATGCTAGATGCTGCACTTTGGCTCAAAATTAGCAATAACTTAATGATGATAAGACTATGTGGCAGTGCAGCAGCCCCAACCCAGCTGGTGCCTGGCAGAGTTTAATAATCCTTCCAGGAAAACCCATGATACAACAAACAAGTTCTATTGGTCCAGATAAAAGAGCTGTTATAAGATAATCAATTCCAATAATTAGTTGAATAAAGGTTTGCTCTCAGTTAAAAGACACCAATCCAATTTTTTATATAACAAGCTTGAATGATTATGAATGAGATAAGCCTATTCAAGTATAAGTATATGTACCTTGGGGTATTAGAGTTTAGATTTATGGTATGTAGTACTGATACAGATACATGTACCGTGTACAACATTAAGATGATATAACATGGCAATTAATTTTAGGATAAAGATATGGATATGTGTGTGTGTGTGTATGCATGCACACAAGTACACACATAATTATTTATATGTATAATCAACAAAATGATTCCTAAAAAATAAAATTAAAATGATTTTTTTAATACTTTCCAAGTAGCCGACCCCACTTAATAAGATAAGACTTGTTGTAGTATTTAATACTCTAAAAATTATAAAATAAATGCCAAAGCAAACTACATGAATAAATAAAATGTCAATAGAACAATTTCTACAATTACAAGGGTTTATTGCATATAACTACTGAAATTAATTTGTTATACTTTTCCACCAGATTCATCATCCGTTTTGCAGTTATTGCTTTGATTTGCTTGCATCTTTTGCTGTCCACTATTTCTTGAAAGCTTTCTTCACCTTCTTTGTTTTTTAATCTCTCTTCTCTCTTCGAACTTTCTCTTCTACTTTTTCTCAATGCGTTCTCCAACCAACTCCTTCACTGTTCAGAGCTTCTCTATTGCAGATGCTTCCAAGCCTCTTCGTCGTCAATGGTTAAATCAACTTCTTATTCTTCGAATGAATTTATTTAACATCATTTTCTAATGGGCTTCGAACTATACATGATTGAAAACTGATTTGAGTGTTTGAAGTAGCAGCCTTAAGTGATTGATAATTAGAGTTTTTTATACCACAATAAAAAAATTGCTTTTGTGTCCATTGACCAGCTATTATTCATCGCACCAATCACCAAATGAATCAGCTGCAGAATTTTATGTCATGGAAAAAGCCATAATCAAAGTTTACCGTATCCAGGGAGAGGGGGATCTTTTTTACTTCATCCCCTCCCCAAAACCCCCCCCCCGGGGGGGGGGGTAACTAGCATTATTAAAAGCGGAACTCACACCCCTAAAAAAAAAATCCATCCATATATGCAGCAACAGTGCTAAGACCCTAAGCCATGGGGTGCAACATTTTTAAAATTAATTTAATAATTTTTTAAAAAAACATTGTACCCTGTGTGGCTTCACATTGTGAAATCATTGAGCAATCATCTCATTGGCGATACTAAAGACAATATCTTTTTTAATATAAGTCACAAGACAATTATTCATCAATGGATCTCCCATACAACTCCGCAACCAATTTTTCACAAATTTCACAACAGAAAAGGCTCTTTTTGCTATTGTTGTAGCAACCGATAATATCATTACTAACTTCAAGAGAGCATAAAATTTTTTGAAACCCAAACATTTTTAAAGTTGGACTAAGGGGTGCAAAACATTTGAGTCAAGGGGTGCAAAGTATTGGAACATACGAACTCTCCTTGTAATTTTTTCTCAGTCCAGGGGATGCATTTGCCCCCTTGATTTATATGTGGTGCCGCCCATGCGTGTATGGATAGTTAGGAGTTCCTCCTACTGGTTAGTGCAAAGGTCCATACTTACTTGAATTAGGACTAGTTAACTATGGAGATGCAATTTTTATTATAGTAAATTTAGGATTATTGAAGTTGGCTGCATGGAATTTCAGTCTTCAATTTTTGGCATTTGATTAAATACAAGATATGACAGATCTTTGCAAGATACGGTTTCATTGTGGACTCTATGTCAGGAGCCCTAATTATAGTCCCCTGCATTTTATCTTTTATCTCAGTTCAAGTATCATCAATTTAAGAGTTGTGGAATAATATGTCAAGAGATGGGAGTTGAACGTTTTAGATAATCGGGAACCAATTCCTTCCATGACTACAACAATAAAATGGAATCCTAGAAAAAGTCCTCTACCATCACCACCAAGAATCTTATGCCCCACTCAGAATCCTAGAAGAGATTTAAAAGGACGTGGAAGTAGAATGGAAGTAGGCTTCAAAAGCAAAATTTGGTATGTCTATGGAAGTCTTATATAATTTTTAATTGAAATGTGTATTTATAACATGATAAACAAAGAAAAACACCATTGAAAGAACAGCAAGCCCTGCCACCGGCAAAGAACCAAGGAGCAACATAGCAACAATTAACAAGATTCTAGAAATTGAACCTAAAGAACATTAACCATCAAGGATAGATTTCAAACTAGAAGGGGGAAAAATTAACAGATTTCTTTTTTTTTTCCCCTGAATCAGAAGCAGATTTCAAATCACGATTTCGAACCATGAAGGAAATCATACGATTTCAAGAATCAGAACCAGATCTTGTCCCCTATTTAGATTGTCGTAGATAGTGACATCTTGATGTTTTCCAAAAGCCTATATTGTAGAGACAAAAGACCCTAGAATGGATTGACAATAGAACCAGATTTTTGGTTTTGTGGGTGTGAAGATTGAACCATCTGTAGAGATTCAACCATCGAACCCAAAGATCACAAACCTAGAGATTGGACCCCCTGAAAAACATCTATCGCAACAACAGAAGATTTTGCTGGTGCTTTTAAAAATTTTATTAGGGGAAATCACAAGTTACAGCCACCAAAAACTCCAATACCAGCCATAATGTAGGCAGCATGTCTCCTCGCCACTCCCCTAACCATCTCACAATCTGGTTCAAACTTTTGAAGGCTTTAGTGACAGCACGAAGGGGACAGGTAGAATTGTCTTAAAAATCTCTGCTGTCAACAAACTATACTCCTTGTGACTCGCCAAAAAGAATTTTCTTAAAAATATGCTACCATGAAACCCAAGCCAGTTCCATCCCGCCTACAATGGAATGAGTTCCAGGCATTTTGATGGAAAGACGCTTCCAGGGGAGCCTGGTTCCCAACATACCAAAATCCCAATATTAAAGAACCCACTTCCGCTTCCACTTCCAAATATAGAGTTCAACTATACCAAATAATAGAAAATAGATGTTCCAAAATAAATCCATGCACAGCATACAAAAACTTTTATTTGATGATGCTATTCACTAATTGTTACTCCCTCTGGTCTCTATTATAAGGCACCTCTAACTACCTCACTAGAATCAAAGAAAAGCGGTTAAATCATTAACTTTGCCTGAAAATAAAATAAACTTTCAATTTTACCCCTATTAAATGAAAACTTTTCAAATTTGCTTTACATTATCTCCCATAATTGATGAGTTTAAATAAAGGAAATATTGGAAAGACATAAAGAATACCCCCATCAAGTGCTTTATATTAAGGATGAAAATAAATCCTTCTAGAAGGCCCTATAATAGGGACCAAAGGGAGTATGTAAGAGCCTTGGAGAATAAACTAACTGATATATTTTGAACTAGCTAAAAAGAACAAGGTGAATTTAATGCATAGTTGCATACTCAAAAGCAAAAACAGATAAACACCAGAAAGTTACAAGAGCCTCCAAATAACAATACAACATGCATCTGATGGAAGAGTCTAACGAAAACAAAAGTTGGTAAGAGAATATAAGAGTATCACCTTCAGAGCCAGCAGAAGTAGAAATGTTTCGACTGAATAAAATCCTCTATCAACAAAATCCCCAAGAAATAAGTAGTTTGTTTTGGGGCAGTCTCCTCCTACTTTGAATAGCTCCTTCATGTCATAAAATTGTCCATGGATATCACCACATATCTACGTTCAGATTAAGACAAAAACCAATAAATGAGTCCCATTACGGCTATACCACAAGCAGAATCATAGCATAAAAAAGAAACACGACTAAACACTAACTTAAAGGCACAAAAATTAGCACCTTATTCCATTACTTCATGTAAAAATTTAATTAATCCTGCGCGAACCACCCGACCTTGGAAATTTTTCAACCTATATTTAATTCAGGAGGCCAAATTTTATAGTAGTGCCGGGAGGCCAGATTTTATAGTGGTGCCCAACGATAAATCATCAAGAAACGTTCTTGCTTCAGTTTCAACTCAAATCAAAACAAAACAACAAGAAAGAGACCCAAACACTGGCGAAAATCACAACCAAAAAATCAATCCAGACCATCAAATTCCTACCAACAGGCAGCATTCGGTTTAAGCGAATCGAACAAACACCATAGCAAGGGCACAACAAAAATGAAGTGGTCCCAGTGACAGAAACGACTACTCACGGTGACGGGGGCGTCGACCCTCTGAACGTTGCTCTCCTCGACGAGGATTTCCATGGCCTTCAGACAAAGAGCCTTCACTTCCGATTCCTTGAGGGGCTCGCACTTCTTCAGCTGCTCTATTTGCCTGTCTAGGTCTGACATCTCTCTTCGGCTCTCTACGTCTCTCTCTCTCTCTCTCTCTCTCTCTCTCTCTTCTCCTAGCCTACTTCGTCGGACCTAGAGGCGCAGCCAGCTTCCCCCGCTCTCTGGCTTTCTCGATTGAAGCTATGTCACACGCAGATATTTGCTTCTCGTTGTCCGGGAAATATGAATACCACTCTCTGACTGTGGTCCGGTTTCTGGGTTTACCCATCTGTGATGATGGGTCATGTGGGCATTTCATTATTTAATTTTAATTTATCTAATTATTTAATTTAATTCATGCATAACCTGTCCAGTATTTGATTCCTTGATTTTTACCACTACCAGCTCCTTTTTTTTTTTTGGGACAAATTCCCAGCTCGTATTAGTTACTATTAATTAACTTAATTAACTAGAAATTAATTAAATGAGTTTTTTTTTTTCCCCTTCTCCGCCAGAGAGATAGCACCGCAATAGTTTCCAGCGATTACTCTTGGCTTTGAAATGGATTGTAGAGACTTGGCTTCAACACTCGATTGCTGCTGCAGACACCTCTCGATAAGGCAACTTGGTGTCCATTTGATTTTTTTTTTTTTGGGTTACATGTTTGTTTGTCAAAAGTTGGTTCGCTAAAAATTAATTTAATAAAAGTTAATTATTATAACATATTTTGAGTATAGATATATTTTTAAAAAAAATAAATTTATTTCATTTTCAGTTTGAAAAGCTTCCCCTAATTATTTTCATGAAATCAACGTTCAATAGTTTTTAAGGAAGTGCATATAAAAAGTTGGTTTAAAATTAAATTAGATATTCAAACCACTTCCATTATAGAAATGCAGGAACACTTTTAGAAAATGGAAAGTGGAAAAACAATAGATTGAAAACAAGCTTAAAATGAATAATAGTTAAATATGATTACTAGTTCTATTAAGGAAATTAGAGAATATCATTTCTGCAGCAAGTTTAAAGAAATTAGAGATTCACGTTGATAAAAATCACATGAATCTTGGGGATAAGCAACAAATGACTAAGAAGAAGATTGAATTAAATTTAGTTAGGGCTAAGAATCAATGGAGTTTTTTTATCGACGTTAAAAACATGAACAAAGGAGGAAGAAATGTGCTCAAATTTTGCAGTATTTTAACTTTGAATGACTTTCCATTTTATTGGACATAGAGGAACCTGAAGAAGGGGGTGAGAAGAAAATCAATTGATGATAGTTTTAAAAGAACTCGTTTTGTAATCAAGCGGTGTCACTGATTTGGAAGAATTCGAACCTCCAGGATTCCCAGATGCCTCTTTAATTTTCGTTAATGAAAAAGTGCCGAGGAATCTAGCTATTGGAAAAAAAAATTCAAAAAATCCAGGAACACAAATAATATAGAATAACATTAAGAAGTTGATGGAGTTATTTAAGATTGATTGGAATTTGGAATTTGGAATTTGGAATTTGATGGGGTTTTATACGGTAGCAGAACTATGACTCGAAGTTAGATGTCCAAGATAATTTAATTTTAAAATTAATAATTTTGAAAAATAATAATTTAAAGGTTAAAATATATATTTAATTCTTTAACTTCATATATAATTCTATTTTATTTCTTTAATTTTATAAAATATTTTTTAATCTTTTAATCTTAATATTATTAGATTCTTTATGAAAAAAATTATATTAAAATTTTAAATATTAATAAAATATTTTTAAATGTTGACGTATTAAATTTATTTTTTACAAAATAATAATAATTGTTATAAAAATAATCATTTAATCCTGATGGTGTTATAATTAAAGAATTGAAAAAATATTTATAAAATTAAATTAAAGTTTTGTATAACTTCAGAAGATTAAATGTATATCTTGTTCTAATTTAAATAATTAAAAATGATAATTACATTATGACTAAAATTGTAATAAAATGAGTAGATTAATCATCATTTTTCTTTTTAAAAATTATTTTAAACATGATCATATAGTCTATTATGCACATATATGTTATTCATATCATATCTCGATTATTAAAATATTTTTCTTTTCATCCCAATTTATATGATATTTTTTAAAAAAGTATGCATAATAATAAAATTTATTAAATATGTTTTATAACAGTGTCTTTTTAAAATAAAAATAAAAATTTTAAAAAATATTTTATATTTAATATTTAATTTATGAAAGAGTATAATAAAAATAGTAATATTTGAAAAGTACTGTTAAAGAATTTTTATTTCTGTTAAAGCATGTTATTAAATTTTTTTTTTGTCAGAAAAGCATGTTTTATTTTGAAACATTAAGTTCCTCCAAAAAATGCTTTATAGGTTGGAATGGATGAAGCACGTATTTAATTAGTTTCTTGGCATAAATATTCTTTATATAGTTTTTTTTACCAACAAATATTTTTTATATAATTTAAAGGATACAAAAAATCAAGAGTTGAAAGTGTAAAGTTACAAAATTTATATACCATACCTGTATGCTTTTCTCAAAAAGAGGGACGTACTTCCATATTCTCGACACAACATGGCTCTACATATAGTTTTATGCAAGGTGATGAGGAGATGTTGGTAGTAGATGATTGATTTTTTTTTTTTTTTCAAGTGAGCACCCAATATCCTAGGCTTGTTCCACTTGAGCCTTGAGAATTTAACAGAATTTAAGTTAGTTTGAACTGAGACATAATAACTCTCACAATAGTGAACATCCTGACCACTTACATTATTACATTTCAATATTCAAACTTAAGATCTTTAATTAAGTTAAAACAACTATTACTAATTGATTTAAGTGTTCCTAATTATTGGGAGTCTTATCTCAGTATGCAAAATAATTGTTCCTTTCTTTCAAAGTCTGTTTGTATTTTATCATAATTGTTTGTAATTAAAAAACTCAATTTATCTCAATCAATTATGGGCTCGTTTAAATTTCAGTTGGACATAATTAATTATAAAAAATTAACAAATATTATTAATTTTGATTCTAGTTGATTGTGTTATGACTCGATTTATTTGAATGTTATTTTTTTGAAATTAATTTTGGCAAAATTAAAAATATTTAAATGATTCAATCTAAGTCAACTTTAATTACCACATAGGACATTACTTTTCAAAATAAAAATATTGATAAAGTTATATAAAATATTACTAAATATGTTAAAATTTGTTTAAAAAGTAACATATATTATTTAACTTATATATATGATTAATTATAGAAATTTAAATTATATTGATACTAATAATTTAATTTACATAAAAAATAACTTAATAGATAACCAAAGGAGTTTATTTCACGAAGAGACGGACCTATTGTAACATTATAGTTGACATGGAGAAGTTATCCCCAGGAGCTTATTTCAGAACATGGTCACAACCCTCATAATTGATTATAAGTAAGTGACGGTGTTTGTTTTTTTTAAATTAAAATCATGATTTCGTCCAAATAATCGATTAACTTTTGTATTCAAACAAGCACTGCATGTCACGAAAGACTCTCCCTACAATGGCATGGGAGCTCTGACTCTCCCCTCAATGGGAGCCTCAATTGGCGTATAAGTGGCGTCTATATTCTCTTATTCTCTGATGACCGTCAGAGATGTCTAGACCGGTGGCCGTGCTCGCTGTAGAAGAAGCTGATTCTTTCCATCATTATTTTGAAGAGGAGATCATGGAAGAGAAGGATGAGGATTGGAAGGTAAAGATTGGGGCAAATTTCAGTCAGGAGAAGGACGATTTGGAAGAAATAGCGCTGATCAAATTGGATAGCGTTGATTTTTAACATGGATTTGAGCTATTAGGGCAGGATAGTGAACTGAACTATTCGATCTGGACTGTTGGTCAGGAGTATCGATCAGCGAAATCGGTGTGATGCTTAATAATGGTGAGTTGTGAAGCTATATGAAGGATTTTCTGAAGTTAATTTGGATGATTCCAATGTCTGTTACATTGAACAATTTGAGTCTAAAGCAGCAAGTAAGGTATGCTCTGTTTACTAAATGACAAGTTTTGAATAATCATCTGACTGATGGAGATTGTTTTTCAATATAGTGGATCTATTATGCAAGACAATGAGTGAGAATGAAAAAGTGTTGGCTATGTGTGAATAGATGGATGTGTCTTTATATTTTTTGAAACCATCTGGGAAGATGGATTGGTTAAGTGATTTCCTGATTGAATATGGGCTTGCTGTTAATATGGACGGTGCTCGTATTATAGTTATGTTCTCTATTGATTCTATTTTATTTGGTGTGTATCTCTAGCTGTGGTTTGATGGATTTGTCAAGTTATGTTTCATGCTCTACCTAATGATGATTCAAGATGCAATGGTTAAAGGTCTTGGGAAAGCATATTGTGAGAGCTCAAGTAGCTGCCTTATAGCCACCAAAGTGCCATGAAGATTAATTGGTGCAAGTACTAGGGGTTGAGGGCTCTCTTGGTGGTGCTGATGGAGATCATTTTGCCCTTGGCAGTTATCAGAAGTATTCTCTGTAAGCTTGTGTTTGTGTTTTTTTTTTGTTTGTTAATAAGAGAGATTGCTTCTTATGGATCATTTGGCTTTGATGTGGGTGTTGTTGCTTCAATCCTATGATATTCTTTGTTGACCAGAAAGTTATTTCTGACTTTCAATGTTGTTCTTTCCCTCTTATGTTGAGAGTAGTTGTTGATGCTGCTTTAATGAATACAGCTTTGGCGCATAAGGGTGTGGGCTCAGTGTTTGAGCAAGTCTTTGGACTACCACCCCTTCCAGTCGTTTCCGTAGTGATTATCATGAGCTTCAAGATACATAGGACTGTCTACTACACCTTGGCTAGTTTCTTGATGTGCAGAAGAATTAGTTTTATCATTGCTATGTCTTTCAGTTTTTTTATAGGGTATTTTGAACTGTTCTTTGTCAAGGGTTTGTTGTTGGGTTTGGATGATTAGTGCTTGTATTGGTGACTCTTATAATGAATTGTTTTTTTCTCTGTCCAAAAAAAAAAAACAGGCACTACATGTCTGCAAAAGCACATTCTCCATCTTTGGGGCAGCAATAATCTTTGATTCAATAATTTATGCAATAGCTAATCATTGATACTTCGATAGCCACTCTCTTGTACACATTATTTATATCATCTTTGTATTCAAACGAAATGAAATTTGACCTACCAATACGACTCTAAACATGCATAAAAGTGGTTTTGTTTAAAGGTAAATTGCCAAAAGCCATGATTCAACGTTGATTACTTCTATTATTAAAAGGATCAAGTCATCAATAAAAAGAAGCGGTTAAGTTAGTCAATTAAAAGATGGAATGTAGAAAGTTTTTTAATTGTAACCTTGATTCATATCATATAAGCTAATATGGGATGGGATGATAGGAAATACAACAAAATAATAGAATATTTATTACTATGAACGTGCTCAATATGGTAATAAGGATATAAAAAAATTAGTTTAGGCATTACATTAAATGATGATAAAATGAGTGAATTAAAATACCTCGCGTAAAGAGAGAAATGGCAAAGAAAATATAATTATTCATATGAAAGTTAAATTGTACAAATAGAAATTTAATATTGTACAAAAAAAAAAGAAATAGCAATCAAACAAGTTTCTCAGTACGGATTGTACGAAAAAAAAATCCTTCATTAAAAAATACAAGGCATTAGTTAAAAAGTTGAATGTTTAAAAATGTAAGATATTTTTAATCTTTCAAGATATAATTATTATATTTTTTTCAAAAGTGTTCATGTTACTAATGATTTTATATTTATTGTAGGATGTTTAATAAAAATAAAGATAGAAAGATAGGTTAGTTTATAAGTAAATAACTACTTTATTAAGAGGTAGATTCGATTAAAAATATTTATATTTTTAAATGAATGGAGTAGGTTTTATTGCTTTAGGTGGTGTATATTGTATTCTTCTCAAGCTTTCTCTGTTTTTGTTTTTTTTTTAAATCTGTCCGTGTTTATATTTTTATGATTAATAGAATTGACTTTGGTTGTCAAAAAATTGAGCATTTGTACCAAAAAGACAAATAAAATGAATTACTTCTGGAAATAGACCCTGATTATTGAAAATTGAGTTTGAGAAGATTGAATCAAACGATCCTTTGTTTTGAAGATTTATGAAAATTCATAATATCATAAATACCTAGAAGTACATTTTAAAGCTGAAAAATATTTCGAGGGTACAGTGCACACCCTCTGCTATGATTTTATTTAATTTTTTTGATTTTTGATTTCCGATAAAGTTGATTAGGGAGGGTCCTTCCCCTGCTTTCTTCAAATTCGAACCACTTTAATTTTATATCCTGAAACACTTTAAAAAAATAATAATAATAAAAATGGCCACGAACTAATTTCTGTATGGCTCCCAATTTGTTTAATTGGAAAATATTTGAACCACATCTTAAAAACATTAGGAGGTATAATTCTTCAATTGATACGAAAATCTTATTATCGGGTAATTTTTAAACGTTTTTCTGAACACTGATTGAGCAAATAATCAAGCACTAATCATTTTCTAAATTTAATATTGCATGGATCGATGTTCCAAATAAAAGCATCTGCATGGAGTCTGAAAGAAATGGCAGTATTGATTTACAAACACGTCCTTCAAATTCAGGACTTCTTGCAAGAGAAAAAGGTGATGCTATCGGCAAGACAATTAGTCGTTGACATCAAGTGATAGTATTTATTTTATGACTTATGAATATAAATATTACGCTACGCTCTCCCAAATCTGATAATTTAGAAAGAATTTTTTATTTTAAAATATAAAACAATTCAAGAAAAATAAAGTGTTATTAATGATTGCCCTTTAAATAGAGATAAAATTAAAATGATATTGCAGGGTACTTTTCTCAATCTAAAATATAAACAGTTTTTAGAAAAAATTCACATATTGATAAAATTTTCATTCTCATAAAAATATATATTATCTACTTTTTTAATCCTTAATCTCAATTATCAATACATTCCATAATGAGTGAGGGATATATTTACAAAAATCTAAGTTATAAATACAAGGGATAAAAACAAAAAAAAATTACATGTACTAAGTTGTATGCATTTTGAATCAAGATTAGTTGAAGGGAAATGATTATATTTTGGATCAGAAGAAGTAATGATTTATAGTTTTATTATGAAAAATAAATTCATAAAGTATCATAACTAATATATATATATATATATATATATATTGTTGTCTTAAATTGTTTTATAATTTAAGACACAGTATATTCATATAATATTATTATTGTTGTTGTTGTTGTTGTTAATGTTGTACATAATTATAAGACATTATAAAGGGATAATTTTAGTTAAGATCACATAAAAGACTTAATTGTTGATGGGTTTCAAAATATTATGAAACTTCTATTTAGTTCAGAAGAGAAAAGTTAAAATAATTTTAATGATAAAAATATCCAAAATACTTTTTAGTAGTTGTTAATTTTTTTAATTTTTTGTTAATTTACCAATATTACTTATAAATTATATCTGTTCATCAGACAAGTAATACTATTAGTTGTTAATTTTATTTATTAATTTACTAATATCAATTGTAAGTCTTATAATCTACAACTAATGTTAATAAATTACAAAATCTGTCAGTAATTTATAACTAATGTTAATAAATTAACAAGTAAATTTTGTAATTTAATAATTGATGTTGTTACTTATGATTTAATAACTGATGTCAAGTTTTATATAATTATTAACATATCGATTCATGTAATTTGCAAATTATATTAATAAATTAATAAGTAAAATAAAAAAATTAATGATTAATAATTTTATATAATAAATAAAAGATATTTTATTTTTTTTATCATTAAAATTATTTTAACCTTTTTTTTCATATATTAAACTAAAATTTTAAAATATTTTAAAATCCACCAATAAGTAACTCTCTTTTCATGGTTTTAACTGGAATTCTCTCTTGTTATAAAGGATATGTATTGGATGGATATATCGCGAAACACGTGCGGGGAGCAGGGATCTCTTCCTGCGCGTTCCTCCACCATATCGCTGCCAGAGTCCAGAAAAGAAGTCTGTGACAATGCTCATCGCGCAATCGACACGAAAAAACGACACGGCGGTGATAGAGCATTTTCAACGGCAAGGTTTCATAGCTGTGCGAGGTAGACGCCGGCAGGAGCTGACAAAAGTCGCCGATTGGTGGTCGCGCCGTACGCAGCTTGCTATAATTCTTGATCGCGTGTACAAGATATTACATTAATCACCATCCTCGAAACCCCATCCTCTAAAATCCCCCAAACGAGAATTCCCGCCTCACTAAAAGGTATGCCCAGCTCCGATTGTTCAATCGGAACGCGACTTTTGTTCCGAATTGGAATTTTGGAGCTGTTGAATCTGTCTTTGTTCTTCAGGGTCGAACCCTTAGAATTTTACCGTGTAAATGTGCTGAAAATGGAGTTTTAAGGAGAATTATGTATTTTGGTCGGATTTTTGTTTTCATGTGTTTGCAATTATATTTTTCAGGGCGGTTTATTTCCTGGGGGTCCTAAGATAGTTGGGAATTAATTGGTTTATGACCTTTATCTCCTAACCGCATTCCCAGGGACATATTCAATCGAAAATCTCTGGATAAATCTATTAGTTTTGGTTGGTATAAATTTCAAATTTTCAGTATTTTTAATTACGAGTTCTCGTCGTTCATCAATATAGTTGATCACATTTGATCATACATCAAAATATTTACTTAAGATTATATGATTTCTCTGTCGAATGGGAATTTCTACCCTTTTTCAATTAGCCGGTGAGAACATAAAATTAATTCATTTTCCTTGCTGTAAAAAGTAAAGGGAGAATTAGTTCTAACTTACGACTATGAGATACCGTGTTTGACTTATAGAAGTAATTTGAACATTAAAAAACACGTAGAGTAGAATGGTTTAAATTCATCTAGGGGTTGATAAAGATTACCTTATCTTTATATCATTATCATCGATGTAAACTATTTTATTTTTCTTTATCCTGTGTTTGGTTGCTTGAAAATCTGCTGTTACTGGAAGAAATGTATTTGTTTGTGCTGTTGCTTGAGATGAATATGCCTAATTGGATAACATGGTCTTGCTGTAATGTTTTCATTGTTATTAAATGTGTCCGGGGGGTGGCAGGTTGTGATCTTTTTGGACACTCGGCTATTATTTGTTAGGATATCTGAAGTTTGGTTGAGATTCCTAGATTCTAGGTAATATCACTTATGTGATATCCTGTTTATCGTTTATTTGTAGATACCGTGTTCTTTTGGTTCACTTAGCAATAATTTATTTTGTCAATTTTTATCAGGCCAATGGCATCATCGTCAGACTCATGGATGAAGGAATATAATGAAGCCGTGAAACTTGCTGATGATATCAGTGGCATGATTTCTGAATGGAGTTCATTTCCTTCATCAGGACCTGAAACCCAGCGACATGCATCTGCGATAAGAAGGAAGATAACTATATTAGGGACCAGACTTGATAGCTTGCAATCCCTTTTGTCAAAGCTTCCTGGGAAACAGCCTATGTGAGTGTTTAGTAGTTAATTTATGTCAGTAAGAATGGGTCATTCTATCACAGCAGAGAAAGGTCAATGACTCCAATCTTCTGAAACTTGTAATTTTTGAAATTAATGTTTAAAAGAATATTTCTGCCTCTGGTCATAACTATCTCTTTGTTGGGATGTCTCCACTCTCCGGAGATATACTCTTCTCCTCTGGTACTAACCAAGAGGGCATAGTAAAGCCAATGCCTCTTTTACTTCCACAGAGCTGTGGGATAAATTTGCATTATTTTTATCTGAAGCCTCATTTAATGATGACAGATCTGACAAGGAGCTGAATCGGCGTAAGGACATGATTGCAAATTTGAGGTCAAAAGTTAACCAAATGGCATCAACGTTGAATATGTCTAACTTTGCAAACAGGGATAGTTTGCTTGGACCAGATATAAAACCAGCTGATCCCATGAGCAGAACAGTTGGCTTGGATAATGGTGGACTTGTTGGACTTCAACGGCAAATTATGAGAGGTCACTTAATTTGAATTGTTTGAAAATTCAAATTTATTCTAGTTTTATGCTTTGCATCTTGATTTGGAATGCTATGCAAGCAGAGCAAGATGAGGGCATTGAGAAATTGGAGCAGACTGTAACTAGTACAAAACATATTGCGTTGGCTGTAAATGAAGAACTGGATTTACACACTAGACTCATTGTAAGCTCCCTTTCTCTGCAAATTATAGATGTGCTTTCTTCCTGCTTTTCATTTGCCCATCTTTATCGGTTTCTTCAAAATTGAATCCTGTTGATTCCTCTGGCAGGATGACTTGGACTTGCATGTAGATGTTACGGATTCTCGGCTGCGGGTAACATACATTTATTCTATAATTTATCTGATAAAGAAACTTGCAATTCACTCAATGTATCCTTATTGAAAGCTCTCTAGCTTTCATCTTTCTGTTGTTAAACTTCTTAATTTCCCATACTCATGCTATTTTCGAAATATGGGATTAATCATACATAAAGTTTAAGAACGATTTATAAACTCCTTGCTGTCTGTCCTTGTGTCAGGACAGTTTTTAAGGTGAAATGCATCTGCATATTATGAAAATAGCATGCTTTGGCAAAAATTACATTTTTAGATAGGAACTTAATAAGCAGGCATATTATAAAATTTGCATTACTATGATGCACTGGGATAAGATGTGCAGGAATATAATTTTATATGAAAGATGGTCTATTGCAAACAGATATACACTACGATATGATTTTGTAATGATATTGGCTTGTCTATTGCGTTGGAAACAGAGGGTGCAGAAGAACTTGGCAATTTTGAATAAGCGTACCAAGGGTGGTTGCTCTTGCTTGTGTCTGCTTTTATCAGTTGTTGGTATAGTGGTTTTGGTTGCTGTTATATTTTTGTTGATCAAAGTTTTGTAATGACAGTGATTCGAGAACTCGATTGTCCTCTCTTCACACCTGTGTATCTTGTTGTGAGTTATTATACCGTGTAACTGGGTTTCTTGACTTTGTTGTGGGTGATTTGTCACCGACTTGGAAGTTGTTGTAAGATAACTATATGCGACTGGCAGATTCTGTGTGTGTGTGTGTGTGTGTGTTCTTGTCTTTTTTGTAATTGCATGAATGTTAAGCTTGCTCTTGATCACTTGATCTTTTAGCCAAAAAGGCCCAGACATCCATATTGGTTCTTATCTCAGAACCTTGGATGCCATTTTTGTTTAGACGTAACTCTGGTAATTGTTCTTAGAAGATTTTAATTTATTTTTTATATTCTAATCATTCGTTGACTTGTTATAAAAATATTTTCCCACATGTCATGGTAACGTTGTGTGATGAAATCCTAGCAAGTATCAAACTTACTTGTGTGCGCGTGTGAACAAGAGTTTTCTTGACGTGCAATGACTTCGAATTAAGCTTGGATTCCTCAGTAGCCCCGTGTTGAATCTCTACCTTACCTTTCTTCCAGCATAGTGAAGGTATGTTCTTCATTACGGAATGTAGAACGAGTCTCGTTAAACCGTAGGCTTTCTAAGGGATCATTTGAATTACGTCTAACGAAACACCAGCTTTGTGCGATGAAGAAACAAACACATTTAATAATGTACTGTATGTTGTATGAAGAAACAACCATGCGAGGTAGCAACACTAGTGGCTCTATCACCTCCATTTTAAACATGTTTATGTGAAGAAATAAATCAATAAGGACATGAGGAGTACTCCGTTAATGTTATCTCATAAACACTAGATACTTACTGTCCAAACATAAATGGTGGGACTGGACTAAGTCAATTACAGAGACACAATAAAACACCCGGAGAACATCAAGAAAAGTAAAAGAAGACAATTTTTATTTTTATTTTTTAAAAAAAAGCAATACTTTCTTCAATTCTCTTTATAAGTGATTTCTATCAATTTCATTAATATTAATATAATGAAAATATATGAAATAAAAGTAAGTAAAATTTCAAACACAATCTTTAATTAAAAAGAAAAATATAAATAAATTATATAATATATTTTTTTGTCCCTCTTTTTCTTATTTTTCAAGGATAGTTTGGGAATTTTAATTTAAAATGGAATAGACTGTACTTTTAGAAGCCATCTAAGATACAAGACTAGACGGAATAGAAAATAACTACTCATTTCATTTAAAAATATAAGACATTTTTTAATAGGTTGGATGTTAAAAAATGTATGATATTTTTAATCTATCAAGATGTAATTATTGTCCTTTTTTCAAAGGAAAAAGTTCAATTAAGAACCACAAAAGAGACTTAATTACCAATGAATTTCAAAATATTTTGAAACTTTAATTTAGTCCAGGAAAAAAAGTTAAAATAATTTCTTGGTGAAAAGAATAAAATATTCTTCACTTGTTATGCAGAATCACTAGTTGTTTTTTTTTTACTTCACTTATTAATTTATCAATATCATTTATAAATTACATCCATTTGTCAGATAATCAATAATATTAGTTGCTAATTTGTTAAATTTACTTGTTAATTTACTAATATCAGTTGTAAATTACAAGACCTGTTAGTAATTCATAATTAATGTTAATAAATTGATAAGTTAGCAATTTAACAACTGATATTGCTACTTATGATTGAATAACTAATGTCAAGTCTTATATAATTATTGATATGTTAACTCATGTAATTTACAATTCAATAAATTAATAATTGAAATAAAAAAATTAATAATTAATAATTTTATATAATAAGGGAAGAGTATTTTGATCTTTTTACTTAAATTTATTTGACTTTTTTTTTTGGACTGAGCAAAAATTTCATAATTTTTTATACCCATTAGTAATTAAGTCTTTTTTGTGGTCTTTAATTGAAAGTCTCTCTTTTTTTAAGTATTCTTATTAAATAAATTATTTTATATTTATTTTAGAATGAAATATTATATTAAATATAAGTAAATATAAAAAAAATGAGATAAGTTTAAAAGTAAAGATGGAGTCAAAGGAGAGAAAAACTGCTTCACTCGCACTGAACTGGAGAGAAGCTGTCACTCTCCCCGGCAAAGCCGTAAAAACTGTTTAACTCACGTTGGAGAGAAATCAAAACAATTCACAGTTTTCTTGAACACTTTGAACTCAACATTCTGCTAAATCACCTGAATTTATTGGCATTATTGACTTCTAACTTGTATAATTTTTTGTATCAAATTTATATAATATTTATACAATTATACCATTCATAGACATAAATAATGTAACTTCCACAAAGTTTTATACAATCTCTTTTATTTTCTAATCTCTCTTCCCATATTTCACTGGACTCGGTATAATTTTTTTACATATCAACAATATTTAAAATTAAAAATATTTATAATATTTAATGATTTTTTAACATTTTTTTTGGTGGCCAGAATTTTATTACTAACATATTAGATTAACAATATTTATTTATTTATTTTGTAAAAAATAATGTTTATTTAAAGTGCAAAAGCCAAGATATGCCTAATTTTCTTCTCTCGTTCTGAGTCCTGTTTCTTCTCTGCTTCTTTTTTAAACCTACCCAGTCCGATTCAGAAAAGGGAGAAAAATGTTTCTGATTGAGTCTCCCACAGTGATGGTTTTCGACAATCGTAGCCCTTTGATTATTCGATATACTGGGAACATGGAGTATTGATTATGCTTAAGTTCAGCTAGGTTTTTCTGATTGTTCTGCGAAATCTGTGGAAGGCCTCTGCGACCATTGATTGGTTAGCAAAGAAGGTGAATTGAGATGAGTGCTGTTCCAAAGGAGTCAATTGAAGTCATTGCCCAGAGCATTGGCATCACCAATTTGCCCCCTGATGTCGCCCTTGCTCTCGCTCCCGATGTGGAGTATAGGATTCGGGAAATTGTGCAGGTATTAAGAAGCAGCGACGATAATTCTTGTGTTTCTGCGAATTTAAAATGTAATGCGGGCCATTTGAGAGTGGTCGTTTAGTAGAATGTTCAATTTTATTTTTTGATGACATGACGTATCTCTTTGTTCGTTCTCGATGTATAGGAGTCCATAAAATGCATGCGCCACTCAAAGCGAACTATTCTCACGTCGGATGATGTGGAGAGTGCACTTAAATTAAGAAATCTGGAGGTAAGTCGCTTTACTTTTGCTGTACCTCTTTTAGTGTCAGTTACATGTTAGAAATGATAACCTTGAATTGAATTAGATTATGGATACCTTTTAATGGTAGTGACATACTTAAATCTCACTATACTGAACTTTTTTCTCAATATTATCTCTTCGTTTAGTGGTTGAGAGTTCTTGTTCAAGCGGATCACGTTCAGATGGGTTATTTTTCTGTTTTGGCATCGTGTTTGTTATTCAATTCATGAGCTTATTCAAGCACCCCTTGGTTCCTTGCGTTATGCCCCGGGGGAGTTGTGGAGTAGTGAGTGTAGAAAAGGAAAAGGAGAATATATAACAGCATTGCAATGTTATGATCTTGTTCAAATAAAATGTAAATTTCATTTACAGACCATTGATAATAGATTAATAGATAAATTTAACCATTGATAATAGATTAATAGATAAATTTAACTAAGTCAAAGCATGTGGGATTCTTACACTTCATAGATGTGTGTGTGTGTGTGTGAGAGAGAGAGAGAGAGAGATAAACTAACAGAAACAACTTTACTAAAAGTTGTGTATAGGAGTCCTGTTAAGCATGTAAAATGCGTTTTTTTTTTAATTTGTTTGACAAGCAGTACGAGGAGTGTGCCTGAACCACAAAGTGTTAGACTAGTTTATGGGACCACACCTTTTCAATTTAATATTTTGATGATGCTTCATTGCATGATTTGATTGGTATGTGCCTTAGTTGTACAAATGTATTATGAGAGCTGTGTTACAATAAACGGGAAAAATTCTGCAGTGCTGGTCCAAAAATGTTCTGAATTTGACCATGCTTTTTACTCTTTAATCTGGGCTTTAAGAGGCTAGAGTTTTGTACGGTTTCATGCATATGACCTCAGACATCCTTTTCAACTGGCTTGGATTTTGAGAATTGGGAGCCTATTAAGCTGTGGTGGCACACATAGAAAAGGTTCTCATTTGTCATTGTAAAGTGGCCATGTCTCTGGCAGTATATATGGAGGCCTGTGTGGGTAGTAAATTGTAACATGCTTGGAAAGTTAGCACGCACTTTCTATCTGATGTGTTGTGTTCGTTTACCCATAAAATCTTTAGTGCCATTTCCAATCTGCTCTCATTATGTTGGAATTGCTGTTTTTTTATGATATTCTTTTTGGTTTCATTTACTTGTATTTATTTATCAGCCGACATATGGTTTCACTTCTAATGACCCTCTGCGGTTCAAAAGAGCTGCTGGACACAAGGATTTGTTCTATGTTGATGACAAAGATGTTGATTTTAAGGATGTAAGTACCCACTAGGCATAATATTGGTGTACTAAAAAAGTTGAGCCACTTTCTGACGTGATTTTCATTTTTCACATTGTCCCAATTTGAATAGCTGATCGAAGCACCACTTCCAAAAGCACCTCTTGATGCATCAGTTACCGCTCACTGGCTGGCAATTGAAGGTGTACAGCCTGCAATTCCAGAAAATGCCCCTATTGAAGGTATTTTTCTAAACTGAGGTCTGAGGTGCAATCAAACTATATGAATGCCCCTTGTGCACTGGGCGTTGAGGTGCATTAATCACCTGCCCGCTACATGCTCTTCACTCTTTGCCATAACAAAATTTGAATTTATTATCTGCACATATTTGTTCCTTGATATACACTTTTAATTACTATGAGCTTTAATATTATGATCCGAAAGTTTGTTTCCCCCCCTCCATTGTCATTTCAGTCTGTTTTATATGATTACTTGCAGCTCCCTCTGAGACAAGAAAATCTGACTCTAAGGAAGATGGACTTCCTGTTGATATTAAATTACCTGTTAAACATGTAATTTCAAGAGAGCTTCAGGTATGCCCTATCAAGCTGCATGCACGGATTTTTTTGTTTTCATTTTTTATGATAAAGTTTGATAAACTTTGTTTTCCTCTACAGCTTTACTTCAGCAAAATAACTGAGTTGATATTAAACAAGCCAAGCACCATTCTCTTTAATAGAGCATTAATTAGCTTGGCAACAGATTCAGGGCTCCATCCTTTGATTCCTTATTTCTCATACTTT